CCTTGTCCCCACCCTCCCACATCCCGGTTGATTGATTTCGCCAAGCATGATAGATGTTTCCGGTGCAATTTGTGACTTCCGCATAGGGTGTGGCAGATCGTCGAGACGCCTCGGGGCCTGCAGTTGGCCCCTCATTTGACAAGTCGGAAAAAGTATCACAAACGGGAGCTTCATTGGAGCCGCCTTAGAGCAAGGGAGCCCCCAGAAACATTCGCTTCAGCCCAGCCTTTGGCAACCATGAGAGTGCTTATGGTGAGGGAAGCTGGCAGGTGAAGAGCATGCTGTTGGATGATTGAGTTATGCTTTGCGGTCTTCGCATGGGTCATGATTTCCCTCTGAACGAGTGCCTTTCATAGCGCCGTGCCGCCGGTGAGGGCCGAGTACAACGGCTGCGTGCAGCGCATCTCGCAGCGCACGGACGGCAAAGGAGCGAACGGAGCGAACTGTGTTTTTCGCCGCTTTGGAGGCTCCCGTTAGTTCAGAACAGAACCAAACCCATCACAACCCAGACATGTATTTCATCACTCAAACAGTCTTAAACACAAACCCAAGAGCAAACAAGAACTGGCAGGGATTCATTGTAGATGGTGCCAAGGTGTTTCCCCCTAGGAAGTGCTTTTCCTTGGCCGACCATCACTTCAACAACTGTGAACAAACACAAAAAGAAGAGAACCGTTTCTAGGGGTAAAATCCAACAGTTCCACTTGCACCCAACACAGGGGCAAACAGTCAATTCTTCCAACTCTTTGGTGTTTGACATGCACCCTCAGGAGTACATAGTCCTTGTATCAAGGTTCGCTTTTGTTCAAGGTGTGGGGAAACTTCCAACGATTCATTCCAGAGATCCTTTCCCGAAAACTCAGGGGAAAGGAACCGCTGGGTTTGGACAAGAACCATGGTTGACAAAATGGGGAATCAACCCCTAAAAAGTTTGGCCTTCGTTTGCTTATAGCCCACATTTCCAGCGCAAGATAGCATTTGTTTGGCCAACTGCGGTGTCAGCGGATGTGACATCCCCCTCCCTCTCTGGCTTTGAGCCATAGCTATTCTAGATATGACAGCTTTCCGCGACAAAAAATGCAAAGCCACAAGGCATCCCAAGAGAAGTTCAGCAGCCCCGCGTTGAGCAATTGACAGGGTCATTGGTGATTTGCTGTTTGTTGAGGACGAGAAGGGGGGGGTCATTGACGAGCCCCAAATTTCGCACAAAAGGGGGCAACGTCCTCTTGGGGAACGAGTCGAATAATTTCATGGCTCCCGTGCCAGGCGACTGCCGGGGCCAATTTGAGGAGTTGACCATGTGCCAGGCCCTGCTTCGCTCGCGACGGCGCACTGGGAATCCTTCGATGTGTGTGTGTGTGTATGTGTGTGTGTGTGGGCCTTCCCGGTGCTCGCATCGGTTGCCGGAAATCCTATGTCCGACCCTGGGCTCTGCTCATCTTTCCATCGACTGTCCCATTGATTGCACTGAGACCCTTTTTTCCTGCTTGGCTCAGGATCACCGCGAATTTGGCATCCAACTTTCCAGGATGTCACTGGGGTCTCCTGCAAAGCTATTGTGCATTTTAGGAACTTCATTTCGGTGTTCAGTGTGCCAAGGTCACTTGTTGGCTACCGGCCCCATTCGATTTTCCCCAGGATCACTGCATCGCCCATGAGATCTTCTCGCACGTGAAGTGAGCGACGCAAGCGATTCCGGGCACTGCCCCGGCTTTTCACGCCTCTGTTAACAAATCGTTTTGGACCCACGAAAAGGAGTTGGACCTGACAAAGTAAGTAAGGTTAGTGGGCTGGGGCGGGACTTTTCGATGAAAGAGCTTTGGGGTTGCGGCAAGGAACGGGGAAGGCTGAAAGGGGTACCGTCGCAGATATCACCATGAACATGCCTCCTTCAAGAATCACGAAACAAAGGCAGATGAGCGAGCAAAAGCTCTCATTCCATTCTTTGCATTGCAAAGGTGTTTGTCATTCAGCTTCGGAGCCGTTGTTTTTTCGTATGCATTTGGTAGTTGAGGTTCGTTGAGGCTCCCGAGCTGAGCTGTCACCCAACATTTGTGCGCGTCATTTCCATCGCGAGGGTGCCTTTTTCCGGAATCTTGCATTGCTCCGCACAACTCCTTACACAGCAAGCATCACATTCTGAGAGATATGTTTGGAATTTGTTGCACCACACCAATGTCCGGAAGCTTTGATCAAGGTGTTTGGTCACTTGTAAGCGTTCAACATGTGGCATCGATCGCTTGCTACTCGATTCTGCAAAGAGCGACAGAGCTATGGCGCTAGTAGAAAAAGTAGATGGCAGCGCACAAGCAGCCTGTGTGATTTTGGGGTAGCTAGCGGCTGCCTGGAACATTGCAGATTCTAGATGGGAAGATAGCTGAAAGACAAAGAACTGATGTCCAATAAGTTTGGAGCACTCGACCAATGCGCCGCATTCGGCACACATTCCTTTTCTCGAGAAGCCTCAGCCGAATCTTCAACAATGATCTTGCATATGAGTCTTGGTCAAGCTTACCGGTAGTCTATGGTCCATGTGCGAAGCAGTTGGGGGGACTGAAGAAACTTCCCCACAAAACCCAGCTGACTCACGCATTTGCTCACACCTCATTTGGGGGGAACGAGCAGTTTTGCCGTGGCTCACACCTCCTTTGGGGCAACCCCCCGATCAAAGGCATCCCCAAGTCCACTGCCCCAAAAGGGGGAGATCGCATCGTCCATGGCGTCGTCCAGCAGGCTGATGTTGAGAACAAAACCACGCTGTGAGAGAATCGTGACAAAGCGCTCTTCCCCGTGTTGCCCAAGTTACACCAAGTTTGACCTTTTTGCCCTGATTTTGGGGAGGCGCTCGTTGAAGTCACTCATATGCGGCTCTCAACCAAACAGCTTCAAGCCCGGTGCCGGGTAGCTTGAGACAGTCGACTGCCAAAAACGCGCACTAGACCATCTTTTGCTTGTGGTGCGCTTCGGCCCTCTGTGGCATCTATTTGAAGCAGAATCGAAGATCTGGAGTCCTGGGCTCAACGTGCTTGCCGGCAAGTACCGTCTGGAGTTCTGGAAGCCAAAGACCGGCGGATATCGGGTTGCCAAGAACGTCTCATTGAGGAAGCTTCTTCTGCGTGATGTGTAGATGGAAAAAGAACATGCCCTTCGTCTTATTCCCGAATTTGTTCTTCCTGACTGGCTGCATTCCGCTCCTTGCATCCGCAGCCACTAGCATCGGCAAGAGTTGGGCTGATAAAAAATCCCAGGCGTTTCGACGAACAATTTACCTTTGGGCCAGGGCCAGATGGGGAGCAGAGACATGCAACTTCACACACCACGAAGCCAACAATACAGTGCCTCTACACCACTCCAGACACCTCCACTGGCTACACACTGCAAGGCCAGGCAGCCTGCTGTTAGTCGAGGGCCTTGACTGGGGCTTCTCCCGTACCCCTGGCAAAGCCGATCTTCCACGTGCGCCACGGACCATGTCTATGAAATAGATTTGCGTGTGTTTTTGGAATCCGAAAGGACAGCCGCAAAATGGGAGTCTTTGACTCCGTGGTCTATGCAATCAAACTGCTCCAAGCTCCCATTGTCTGGACTAGTGGCCCATGAAGTGTCTGAAGCTCAAACAATTTGCCGCTTTGCTCGTGTCCCTTAAAGCGAACATGTATTTGTAGCATGGGCCCCTCAAAGCGAACGTGTTGAGGGGTTCTCACACTTACCTGAAGTTGGTGGCTTTGCTTTAAGCAAGATTCAAAGGGGTTGGAGGAAGTCACTTGAATGGACGTGTGCGCAGATTTGGGCAGATGCTCCTCGCGGCGGCCTTGGTGTGTCCAAGCGCTTGCGTGAAACAGCTGTAGGCTGGAGTAGACGTTTGTGTCTGTGTGTGTGTGTGTGGGTGTGCGTGTGCGTGTGCGTGCGCGTGCGCGTGCGCTTGCGCGTGCGTGTCGTGTGCGTGTGCGTGTGCGCGTGCGCGTGCGCGTGCGCGTGCGCGTGCGCGTGCGTGCGTGCGTGGGTGTGTGTGAGGGACCCCCTTTTTAGGATGAATGCTGCAAACCAAACGGACAACTGCCATTTTGAAGTTCTGCACCCTGCAGAGTATGTGGGGTGATTTTCCGTCAAAGGATGCCCTCAAACGTGGGACACTGAATCAACTCCTGGGTTGCCATTGTCGGTTTCCTTTCCGTCAAGCTGTGGGAAGGGCTAGACTCGAACCATGTATATTTGTTCGCTCGCCGAGCAACAAATTGTAGCCTTGCATAGCAAGGCTGACTTGTCGACTCGCGTTCGAATCAAACTGGCTGCTTAAATTTAGATACCAGCACCGGTCAAGATTACAACACCATGCTCATGTAGATCAGTCAAGGTCGACGACGACTATGACAGCGACCAGGTGGGGTCGATGGGGCAGTATCGACGGCCTGTCATTCACCAGCAATCTGGCTTCCAGAGTTATAGTACTTGACATTGGGACGATAGTTTTAGTGGCACACCAACAGTCTGGACTTTTTCTGATCAATCCACAAAGTGAGCAATCCATGACACTGCCATGATTAGTACGAGGTCTCTTGCTAGATTGGCGGTCCTATTCTCAGTGTCAGTGAGCACCACACGACCGGTCAGGAAAGCTTGCGTATGATCTGCAATTTGTTCGCAAGCCCAGGGTGCAAGACAGACCTCCTGTGACTGACCAATGCCGGGTTTTGCTGTTTGGACTTGATGTCATACCCTTTGTGGCTTCGTCGGGGCAGTTGGGGAGTTTGGAATGTTGCACGCATTGGCTGAAATGGCATCTGTTATATAGCAGAACTCTGCATTTGCCCTTTGAATAGGATTTTTGTCGATCCAGCCAGCCAAAACATCCCCTGCAAAGCAGCATCAAATATTCTGGCTAACCGGTTCCTTTTCCGAACAGTTTTCCCGGTCACTTCTTTCTCTCCTGAAAAAGTCTTTTTATAACCAAGTAGGCAGTGGTCAAAGTGCACCAAGCCCCCTTGGAGCCTCGTTTCGAAATGCCCGTTTGATTCTTGGGTTGCACAAAAACCAGCCTGTCCCTGGATGGATGGACGGACGGATGGGATTAGATTGGAATGGAATGGAACGGATTGGAATGGATTGGAATAGATGGAGCCCATCCATCCATCCATCCATCCATCCATCCATCCATCCATCCATCCATCCATCCATCCATCCATCCATCCATGCATCCATCCATGCCTCCAACCATCCAACCCGACAACCCTTCAACCGTCCAACCTGTTGCCAGCAAGGCAAGTCCTCGGCTTCTTCTCGCGCCACGTTTCGTTCGCCTCAGGCCTGGGAGGTCTCCTCGGACGAGGGCCTGGACCGCATCGCCGCTCGGATCTCCTGGCAGCAAAGCTACAGGCGGCATCGATCGCGTCGATCTGGGCCCCACGGAGGCGCATGACATGCGATGGGTGCGATAGGTAGAGAATGTATATCGATGACTTGCGATGCATGACTTGGCCCCAGTGCACCACGAAAGTGGCACACCTGGCTGAGGGTCAAAACCAATGGTACCATTTTGGGGTAGGTGCACCGCCCATTTTAGTCTATTTTAGTGGGGATTGGGATGTTCACTGGGGGCACGGGATTTTGACCCATGGCCATACCATATATATATATATATATTATATCCCCCCCTCCCCCCCTCATGGATTCTGGTTTGGTGCGGTTGACCTGTATTTTTCCAGTGTTTTATGCCATATATATATATATATATGTATGTGGGAATGAACCCACCAGTTGGATGCCTTACAAGATTCCAATTCTCATTCCCTGCCTATCGCACCAGCAAGATGAAAAGCCGTGATTAAAAGGAGGAATCCTTGCAAAACCAAAAGGAACGCCACACCCAGGCGAAGGATTCCCGGCTAGGAATCCGTTAGCAGGGAATTTCCTTTTGGAAAAAGGGGACCTTTTTTGGGGGTCCAGGAGCAAACGCGCCCGGCACACTGGTTCCACCCTCTGGATACCGACCATTTGAGGGGGGATATTTGCAATTCTTGTTCATTTGCCATTTTTCAAACGGCTTCCCACAAGTTGAGACCCATTCCTATTTGGAGAACCCCCCGTTTGGGTCTGTCTCAGAATAGGCGAACCTCCAACATTGGTGGTTTTGCTTTGCTTTTCAACCTTCAAACCATCCCTTGTGGGCTATCAAGAACAGACACTCTCATTTAGCCTCCTTTTGTTTGATGTTCAAAGGTAAGCAAGGACGCCAACCAGAGGACTTGGACCATTCGGAGAACCTCTATTGATCTTGTTTCCCTTTGGTTTTTGCCTGAAATGGACCCACCAAAAAAAAGTCCAAAACTTTTTAAAAGGACCGCGGTCTTCTTTGAGACCAAAAGTTTTAGCTTTCGGTTCAATGTGCCCAGGGTAACCCGTTGCTATCGCCGGTTTTTGGGCGCCACAGCCCGCATGGCGCCAAGCTCGGGCTCTCCGAGGTGTCCCAAAACTCCATCCAGGCCCCGCAGCTGCCCGTTTTGAGCCCCTTTCTTTTGGTTGGGAGATTCGGCTCCCCTGCCAAAATGGACCAAATGGAAAAAAAGAAGCGGTACCAACTGATTCAAAATAGGGGAGGTTCCCCTACTAACATACTCTACAGAAAAAAGATGGTGCCCTTATTCTACCCTCTCTACTGGAGGACCTAGGCTCCACGTGCCGATTTCTTCATCGCAGGCGAATGCTCCAGGAGGTGCCTCTGGCCTCGGAGCTGTGGTGGCTGCGCCGCTCCGCGCGTCGCCGCCTGCTGCTGCGCTTGGCCGAGGACGTTTTGTATGTTTTTCCTTTGGAGAGCCGGGTTAATCCGAGTCGTTTCTGTAGTTGCTGGGGTTGGATTGTGTTTTTTTCCTCCAACTTGCAAACTAGGGTTTGATTGTTTTTTTCTTCCTCCAAATTGCACACTAGGGCTTGATTGTTTTTTCCTCCAAGCAGCTTGCCTGTTGGGGTTCTGTATTCACTGCGGTTCTCTATTCATGTGTTTTGTTGAGAGTCGGGGTTACTGTGTTTTTGACGGAGTCGGGGTTGGAAGAATGTGGAATGCGAGAGTTGGGCAACCAAAGGGGAGGAACTTGGTTTAGGCGTTCTATATCTCATGTGAAGACAAGCCCATATGGGCGTGTTTTTTGGGGCTCGTACCCTTTCCATGGGATCCGGTGTTTTTTCTCCTAAGGCTGGGTTGGTTGGTTGGTTGGTCGGTCGGTCGGTCGGTCGGTCGGTCGGTCGGTTGGTTGGTTGCCTTGCTGCATCTCCGGCATCACCAGCCTCAATGGGCCCGCGATTTTTTTATTACCTCCGATTGGAAGGCAGTTGGGAGTTGCTGGGGGCAGGTTTAAGTTAAGGGGGGTAAAAGGCTGGCTTAGATCTTCATTAGGATGGGATTGTGGTGGTTTGGGGTTGATTTAGGGCTGACATCCAGGCTGCTGTTGGGCGGGTTTAAGGTTGACTTTGGGTGGATTTGGGGTTGGCATGCAGTTGATTTGTGTTGGGTGTGCTGCTGGCAAAACGGTGCCTTTAGGGTTGCCTTTGGGATGTGGTTGCATGAGTTTTGGTCTCGTTTAGGATTGGTTTTGGAGCGTTGCCCCAAACCACCAAAACTCGCCCACAACTCACGCAACAGAGCAGCACACCCAACACAAATCAGCTGCATGCCAACCCCAAATCCACCCAACGTCAAACCTAAACCCGCCTAACAGCAGCCTGGATGTCAGCCCTAAATCAACCCCCAACCACCGCAAGACCCAGCAACTCCCAACTGCCTTCCAATCAGAGCCAATAAACAACTCCCGGGCCAATTAAGGCTGGTGATGCCGGGGATGTTGCCAGCCCTGCGGAAAACCAACGCTACGAGAAAAAAAAAAAAACAGCCCTAGGCAAAGAACACCTCTACCCCCTTTCCATGTTGGTTCACAATGGGGTACCCCAAGAAACTGGTCGTCCGTTTGATTATGGGTGCGGCTCCTTTTTTGACCTTTTCAAGTTGGTTTGAAGGGAAGCCAAAGTGGACAAAACATTCTGGCAGTTCCCCATTTCATTTGCTGAAACCACGACTTCCGTGTGCCTTTGGGCATTTCGCTCAGACCCTGATCCCCTTTGGGAAGCTACAAGGAGGTTAAATAAGCAATATAGTTTAAGCTCCATGCTAGCTAGAGGCTGAATCACCCAATGGTCGCTACTGTGCGGTGTCCAAACGCCTGAGTACTCATATGGTCAAAGTGCCCCTGAACTATGGGTGGACAGGAACCGGTACTTACCAAAAGAACAAACCTTCCCCAGGTCCTATTTATGGCAACATGATCTTGCTGCCTACCTATTTCTGGAACAGAAGGGCAACAAACAAGCCATGGGGGCGTTCCTTTGACACAAAGGTCGTGTTGCGTTCTGAGAATGGACCGCCAATTCCATCAAGACACTTTTGTGTTGTTAAAGTGGGTCTAATGCAGTTCACGCATGTGGAGACCCTTTAGTGAGCATCATTCAACTTTCTTTGAAAGGGGCCATAAAGATTCACAACTACATCCGCAATTGGCACAGCTGCCAAAGGGCAGATGGGAGGGTTGCTACCCTTTTCAGGTCCCTTTTAAAGTGCTTCAACTGATGCTCTACAGTGGGTCTTTGACTCAAACATCAACCAGTACTGAGCTGAGAAAAGGTCCCCCATGTCCTTCCCAAATGGACCCTACTGGAATTTTGGATCCACCGCCCCCTTCAACGCCTTTCTCCCAACTTCCCCTGATTTCCTCCGACAAAAAAGCCCTTCATGCCCGAGCCAGAAGTTTGAAATCTTCAAAAACCGGAGGGTTGCCACCCAACCGCTCCAACTTCTCGTGTTCCTAGGGGTACCTTCCCCATTCTTTCCAGGGATCCTTCTTTTCAGGAAACCCTCAAAAACCCAGGGGAAACAGATCCGGTTTTTGAAAAGAACGATGGTTGAAAAAAAAAATGGAATCGGAATCAACCCCTTCTCGTGATCCGTTGGGTCCCCGCTGTTCGCGGCGGAGGAGTGCGCCAGCTTCGGCCCCGTGCTGCGGCGGCGCTGCTGCGAGCTCAGGGCCCAGGGGGCCAAGCGCCGCCTCGAGCTGCTGAAGAGCGGTCAGCTGGAGGCTTGGGGTGGGAGGGGGGGGAGTTTTGGGGGGGAGGGAAACGGTGGCCGGTGCAATCTTCTTCGCTTTTTTTGGGGGGGAGCACATGGGGAAAGCGCCCAACTCTAGATGAATACTAGGGTGTGTCAGTGTGTCAGTGTGTCAGTGTGTGTGTCAATATAGGGATCGAACATCGGTCCAAATGCCTCCGACTTTTGGCGTAGACTTGGCTCGAGCCAAGATGGTGGCGTCAAGCGGAGGGATTTGTGGCACTCACCGCAGATCGAATCATCGCCCTCAGGGCAAAGAGTTTTCGTTTGCGTGCTGGCTGATTTCTGTCATGCATCAAAATGTGATTGCTTTGTTTTTGTCCACGATTGCGACTCTTGGAGCAATTCTGTCACGTATCGCTTCATGAAATGGAGATCGTGCAGTGGCGTGATAAAGTGATAGATTGTGATAGATGATGTTATCGACGAATTGGAAGCGCAAAAGGTTGCGACTTCTCCCAGCTCGTTCTCAATGGATAGAACATGCTTGAAGAGTATAGCGCTGCCTTTGTGGCAGGGTGCATAGAATCTTGCAGACACATCAAGCGAAACATCGCATCAAACATGAAGAACGCATTAGGATATGCAATTCTCCCGGTCAGGTTCTTTGTGCCCTGTTTGTCTGGAGTGTGTGTGCGTGTGTGGATCCCACCCCACTTGAGAGAGCTGGCTCCTCAACTTCTTGGGCCAGTTTTTGGGATCGGCAAAGGGGATGAGACCCTCACGCAACAACTTCCACGGCTAGCATCGACCGAGCAGCATCGCTGCCCATTTCAGCACCATTTGGCCATCATATGTGTGTCTCTTGTTTTGAGGGTACCTTTTCCAAAGTTGTGATGAAGGGAAACCCAACGAAACCCGTTTTGGGGTCCTTCCTACTTGGAGACACGTTCCTCATATTCTCACGGCAGGAGTACGCAGCCGCGGTGCAGGAAACGAAGGCTTGGGCCAACGTCTTGCGATTTCGACTGCAGGATTACTTGGAAATTGGGCTATAAATGCAACACATCATTCCAGTTCTGGGTGCTGCTCGGGTGGATATTGTGTGTAACATGCACACCTATATATCGTTTATGTATTCAGCATTCTCTGCTATGGATTGCTGGAATGCCGTTTTACAGGGTTGCGCGTATGGCTAATTCGCAGAGGCGTAGCCGGGCTTGGTAGCTGCAGTCGTGCTTGCGCACTATCGTAGAATCAATCAACATTGAGAGCTTTCTGTCGAAAGTGATAATATCATGTTGCTCCGCCAGCCCTGACTTTGCTGCGTTGACAAGTTGACTTGTGCATTCCACCTTGCAGACTGGTATCCAAGAATCCTTCGGCGAATGCATGCAGTTATCGGGATGGCGTTGAAAGATTGCAGAGTTTGACTGGAAGCATGCATCATGCCAACCAAACACTGCACTTTCTGCATACCGCAGCCTTTTTGGTACAGCTCCACTTGCGTCGTATTTCGCAAAGCCTTTACGGCAAATCGTCATCATGGGCCAGTGCGAGAGCAAAGCCAGCACTGACAATGAGATCAAGGTCCGGGTTGCACCGAACCTCAGAAGGGCCAAACCACCTTGCATAAGAAAAAGAAACGAGAGATTTAAGGGGTCCTTCTGTTTTCCCACCAACCTGCTGGTATTCTAACTACCTTGTTGTTTTTTGGGAGCCCATGTTTCTACCTGAGGTGGACATCAACCGACACCCGGCCATGCAGAGCTTGTCGCTGGTCACCACGGAGAAGATGGGCTGGATCCGCGACATCCCGGACCACCGCGACCTCCACATGAAGTTCCCCTCCAAGGCGGCGCCCAAGGAGATCCAGAAGAAGAGCGAAGGAACCAAGGACCGGGCAAGAGGATAGCCCTTCGGTTCCGTGCGAAGGCCGACACGTACGGCCTGCTAGCTTCTGTTGCCGGCAAAAAAGACCCAACAAGGGGGGGGTCAAACACATGGCCGGTTCCTTTAAAGAGACTCACCAAAAAACGGCCCCTGAATATTGACAACTCATGGCTAAGCACGGCAACATGGGTATGGGTCCTTGAGCCAAAGTTCGAGCCTGGCGATCTCCTTGCGCGAGGAGATTGTCGACCTGAGGCCGCTCAACGGTGGCTTCAAAATCTTCAATCAGGGGCACTTGGGCAGCTGCACTGCGAACGCATTGGCGGCTGCCTTCCACTTCACTCTTCACAAGCAGACTGTGGAGAATCACGCAGACTTCAAGGCAGCAGCATTTGGAGAGTTCTGATCACCATTTCTCGAGCATTTGGGTATGCTTAAGTCAGGACGGCCCCCCGAAAATTGTGGTTTGCCTTTCACCCCAAGGGAACTGAGCCGCAAACAGAGGGAAGCTGCTGCTAGGAGGGTATGGGTCAAAATTAACCCACCAGGCGACCCCCGGTTTCAGTCATTGTTTCCATTACCTATTTTTGACCCACAGCCAGGACTTCACACCTTCCCGGCTCTTCATCTACTACAACGAGCGCTACGTGGAGCACTCCGTGGACCGCGACGCGGGGGCCATGCTCCGCGACGGCATCAAGGTCCGGCCTAATACTCGCGCGCGCGCGCGTGTGTGGCCCGCAGAAAGCTGTTGGGGCCTTGGTGGACATCAGTTACGCCCACCGGACTGGGGTATGTTTTTTTTTGGTTGGGTGCCTTTTTTTTGGGGTGGAGTTAAGGGGGGAACACATTTGGGATCCGAGTTCCGATTTTGTCACATACCCCCGTGCCCCCCCCTTGAAAAAGAGTTTTGGACAACCAACCTCGTGGGCCCAAATTGGGAACCAAAATGTTAGGCAAAGGGGTGGTTTTTCAAAGTGTCAAAGAGATAAAAAGGAGGCAGTTTGTAGCAATCAGCTAGCATACGCAATCAATAGGTGCAGTTAGCATCGGAGATTTCAACCGGGAAAACGGGTGGGAATTCCAGTTGGAGGTGTGCCACTGTAACGGATTGTTACGCACAAAATTGTTCAAACAACCTCCTTTTGATATTCCTCCAGCGCTTTGCACAACCACCTTTTTTTTATAATTAACCATAGCACAAGTGAGGTGTTTACCATAACCCAAGTGCTTCACCCGGCCAATATAATTTTACCATAGCACAAGTGAGGTGTTTACCATAACCCAGGTGCTTCACCCGGCCAATATAATTTTACCATAGCACAAGTGAGGTGTTTACCATAACCCAAGTGCTTCACCCGGCCAATATAATTTTAGCATAGCACAAGTGAGGTGTTTACCATAACCCAAGTGCTTCACACGGCCAATATAATTTTACCATAGCACAAGCGAGGTGTTTACCATAACCCAAGTGCTTCGCCCGGCCAATATATCTTTACCATAGCACAAGTGAGGTGTTTACCATAACCCAAGTGCTTCGCCCGGCCAATATATCTTTACCATAGCACAAGTGAGGTGTTTACCATAACCGCAGTGCTTCACCCGGCTAATGTAAGTTAGCCATAGCACAAGTGAGGTGTTTACCATAACCCCAGTGCTTCACCCGGCTAATATAAGTTAGCCATAGCACAAGTGAGGTGTTTACCATAACCCAAGTGCTTCACCCGGCCAATATAAGTTAACCATAGCACAAGTGAGGTGTTTACCATAACCCAAGTGCTTCACCCGGCCACTATATCTTTACCATAGCACAAGTGAGGTGTTTACCATAACCCAAGTGCTTACCAATAGGTTTTCGAAGCACCCATGGCTTAAACAAGTTGAACCCGCAGGTCATGGAGAAGCTGGGGGTCTGCCCGGAGAAGCTGCGACTCGACCCAGCTTCGGATGTGTCTCATGGGTGTGTCTGGTTTTGGGGGATCCCCAAAAGGGCGGTTTTCTTTTGGTTTCCTTTTAAATCAACCCAAAATGGTGGGTGTTCCTTGAAACCAACCCCAAATTTGTCTTGGTTTCCCTTTAAATCAGCCCAAAGGAACCACTTTGGTTTGCCTGCAACCAAACAACTGACCCAGGTAGATCTGGGGGATGTTTCTCCAAATTGGGGAGGAGTGTTTTTTGTTATTCATGTGGTTCCTTGCTACTTGTCCGTGGTAAAGGGAACCTTGGACCCCAGCGCCAGAGTTTGCCAATTAAACCAATTCTGGGGCCCCTGATGAACGGTTTCTCTTTGGTTTCCCTTTTTAAGACTCGCCCTAAAGGTAGATTTGGGTGTTTCTGTAAATGGGACCTTCCGAGAAGGAAAGCTTTCGTCTTCCAAAACCCTTTCCAGCATTTTCTGACACACGAGCCACGTATTTTGCACCATCACTTCAAGAATTCTGGCATCAAGAGCGGGCTGCAGATTTGGCTTTGGCGTGGGCCAGGGGTTGGTTTAGGGTGGGTTTCGGTTAGGGTTGGTTTAGCTGGTTTGGGGCTAGGGTTTGGTTAGGTCCGACAGCCGAACAGCCAAAAAAAGCGGCAACCATTTGCAAAGGACAAAAGCCAGCCCAGATAAAAACAGGAATCATCACGAGGAAGCAACAAACCACGCCGAACAATTCTGCCTGCCGCATTTGAATCAGCCGAGCGATGGTTAACGCCATGTGTCGGTACCAAGATCAGCGGCAGCAGTGAGTCATTTCCATTGTGATTTAGCTCCAACAATTGCATGTCATTTCTTTAGAGGGACTGGACATGGACGGCAGCCACAGATCTTAGCCTCAGCTTACAGGACGTTGCAAGAATATCATTATTTTGATCATTCGACAAGCAGCGTAAATGAAATCTTCACTGCAGCCTGTCCGCAGCAGGTGCAACGGTTCCATGTCACCATTGGCTAAAAATGCACAAGAAAGCGCGTTTGCTCAGTGATCACAAATGGCCGTAGCTGCAAAAGAAACTTGTTTGTTCAGTGACCATGAACGCTACTTATCAATCCCTTCCGACACCCCCCTCCCCCCCCTCCCAGCCTCGCCCCAAAACCAAAAACATGCGCTGGTCCCGACGCCACCTTAATTTACGTTCGACGGCCAAACATAGTTGTTTTCGCAGCCTTCCCCTTCCTAAAGAGACAACTTTGAAGGTGGCACTATGACGATGCCGCTGACTTCTTCAAGAAGCAGCCTGACAAGAACTGCTACGAGCTCGCCCAGAAGTGCAAAGTGAAGGGCTACGCTCACGTGGCACAAGATCTGGATCAAATGAAGGCTTGCAAGCAACAGGGTTTTTTGAAGGGCTTGAATTTTGGCCTGTCCGAAAGCAAAGAACAAGAGGCTTGACAGGTTTGATAGGCAATGCAACTGCATACTGTCTGGCGAGCTGACCGGGGTTAAAACGATCCTTACTTGGGGGGCCAATGCGTATTTCAGGCTCTCGAATTATTGTGAAAATGATGGAAAGCAACTTGCCGGGATTAGACTTGCAGTGGTTCTCTTTTTGCAGTGCATGGTTTGCGCAAAAAAACACGCTAGACTGCGCCCGACTTCGCGCTTTTGTGTAGGGTCTGATCGTAGCAGTCTTCCAGCCACAAGCGCCTGTTGCAGATGATGCTGGCGATGTGGGGAATGTTGGTGATGCTGCGTGGTGAGGTGATGCCAGACATGCTGGTTGGTCAGAGGGATGTTGGCTGGAGTGCTTGTTCTATTGGTACTGTGGATGGACTAATCCTGCACCACTTTGAGACCATGGGAAGCCTTTGCTTGTTGGTATTTACAGGGGAATCATCATAGGGCTTCTTAGGTGGTGCGATTTCTGGATTTCCAACCATCCACAGTATTGCTTATTCCCTCGACCTGTATCCCTTGCATTGGGTTCTACTTCGTCAAGGTGTTTGCCCGAAAGAACCCGACGGACTCGCCTTGATGCAGGCCTGCATCAAGCACGGCTACCCCTTTGTCTTCGGCTTCACGGTCTTGACCAGCTTCTCCGGCGATGTTGCCAGGAAAGCACGCAATGAGGGAAGCCGGTTTTAGCAGCTTAGGGTCCAATGGATTTTTTTGCGATTGGAATCCATAGGAGATATTGTGCAATGCCTCTGGTTCAGTGGCTTACAAGTCGCGGAGATTCCCAAGAACTATTGAGAAAGGCAAAATTGGGTGCCCTTCAGTCGGCAGGACGGGCAAGATGGTGATGCCCCAGCCCGGCGACCAGGTCCGGGGAGGTCACGCCGTGTGCGCCGTAGGCTACGACGACTTCCAGCAGTGCTTCATCGTGCGGAACTCCTGGGGCGAGGAGTGGGGCGACAAGGGCCACTCAGCTGTCACCGAAGCCTTCGGGGTCCAAAACGGTCGGGATGTGGTGAATAGATGACACCAGTTTGAGGACGCCAAACGTGCGAGAAACCGAAAAAGAGAACACTTTCTGTCGGTGCAGTTTTGTTCAAGCTGTCTTCCAGCCGCTCGAGTTGGTGCAGTTGTTTATTCAAGTGGTGTTCCAGCAGATGGATTTGCTTTTTCCCCAGTTTTTTTCGCGTCTTCCTTCCGAGGCTACTTCTACATGCCTTACGAGTACATCTGCAAGGAGAACTTGGCCCAGGACTTCTGGGCCATCAACTGGGTGGAGAGCTTCAAGGAGGCGGCGCCCAAGAAGTGAGCCCCGCGAAGGCGACCGGCGACGCGGAGGCGAAAACTCCCCACGGCTGGAGGCTGGAGGCTGGAGGGTCCAATCCCCCCGGATCCGACCGGCTGGAGGTGGGGATGTCTTCCTTTTTGCAGGCTCTACAATACCTTGGTAGAGTCGCACTAGGGCGCTGGATTAATTCATTCGGAGCTCGCACCTCAAAAAGGGTGCAGCCAAGATTTCGCGTTAGGCTGGGAGGGGAGAAGCCTCATAAGGCGTGAAGTCCCCCTCCGGGCTTGAGACCGCACTGTTTGCTTGAGAAAAAGGCCGTGGTGCCGTCGGCTGGGAGTTGAAAGGTTTGGCCGGCTGGTTGCTGGCTGGCTGGCTGGCATGTTTTGTTTGTTGGTTTGTTGGTTTGTTTGTCTGTTTGTTTGCTTTATTTTCTTTCGATGCTTTGTGTTGTGTTTTGTTTTGCGTGTTTGTTTTGTTTTGTTTTGTTCTGTTGTGCCTTGTTTTGTGTGTTTGTTTTGTTTTGATTTGATTTTTTATTTGTTGTGTTGTGTTTTGTTTTGTTTTGAGTTGTTATGTTGTGTCTTGTTTTGTGCGGTTGTTGTGTTTTCTGTTGATGTTGTGGTTGTGTTTTGTTTTGCGTGTTTGTGTGTTTTCTTTCGATTTGTTGTGCCGTGTCTTGTGTCGTGTTTTGTGTCGTGTTTGGTGTTGTGTGATTGCTTGTTTTTTTTTGTTTTTCCCTAACAGCTGAAAGCTTTGGGGTCTTAGCCCAGATAGGCTCCGGGGTGGTCCGGGGCGGCCCTGAAGTAAGGTTCCACGAGGGTTCCACCAGGGTTCCACCACAGTTCCACCAGGTTCTGCGAGGGCTGGGGGTGGTCCGGGGTGGTTTGAGGTGAGGTTCCACGAGGGTTCCACCAGGGTTCCACCAGCACGGTTCCGCCAGGGTTCCACCAGGTTCTATGAGGGCTGCGGGTGGTCTGAGGTGAGGTTTTGTGAGGGTTCCACCAGGGTTCCACCAGGCCACCAGGGTTCCACCAGCGTGCCACCAGGTTCTGCGAGGTAAACTTTCATGAGGGTTGTACCAGGGTTCTACCAGGGTTCCACGAGGTTCTGCGAGGGCTGCGGCGGTGGTTTGAAGTATGGTTCCATGAGGGTTCCACGAGGTTCTGCGATAGCCCGGGGCGGCCCTGAGGTAAGATTCCACAGGGTTCCACAGAGTTCCACAAGGATTCCACAAGGATTCCACAAGGATTCCACAAGGATTCCACAAGGCTCTACAAGGTTTCACAAGGGTTCCACAAATGTTCTGCAAGGTTCCGGCCAACGCGCCCGCCGTCTGAAAAGCCATCGGAGCAGTAAGTTGAGGGCTCAGAAGATCGATTTGCTCATGGGCGGAACACTAAGCAAATCAATGGTTTTCAGCACACTTTCACTGTGTTGACTTGCTCACTTGCTCAGACAACGCGGCCCGAAATGTTGGCTTTGTGGCAAATCAGATCACGTTGCTACGGAACTCACTGTGCAGAAGAGTAAATGCTTGGCATTACTGCGTATTATTTGGTGGGCTTTGGGTTTTAAGGGTTCCATGAGGCTGCGAGCGCTATGGGGTAAGGTTCCAAAAACGCTTCACGAGGTTTCCACCAGGTTCTGCAAAAGCTACGGGGCAGGTGTGAGGAAAGGTTCCAACAAAGTTTCACGTTCAGTTTTATGAGGGTTCCTTCACCGGGCCCGATTGCACCGTCGGGGCCCGATCGGGGCCCGATTGCGCCCTCGGGCCCTCAGTCGGGCCCCGTCAACTGTACCAAGCTGGCATGCACCACGGGACCATCGGGCGCCCGACGGTCCGGTCCCGATTTCACCGTCCGGCCCCGCTCCGGCCCCGATTGCGCGGTTGGGGCTTGATTGCGCCGTCGGGCCCCGGTCAGAACGCGATTGCGCTGTCACTCTTAGCTTTGTTTTATAAAGTTACATGGCGGCATCCTCAGGGTTCCGCGTGGATTCTGGGAGGGTGTGGTGCTGTTGGGGATATCGCCTGAGCATGTATTTTTTTGGGGAGGGTTGTTTTTGCTTCTTTGTTTGCTTTCTTGCTTGCTTGCTTGCTTGCTTGCTTGCTTCCTTCTTTCTTTCTTTCTTTCTTTCTTTTTTTGGTTTGTTTGTTAGGCTTGTTGTTCGTTCCACGACCGTGTTGAAACCCTGTTCGCAAAAGCGCGTTGGGATTTTGCTGAGCCGCTCTGACAGAGTCCCTGAAGTAGCAATGGGGACTCTGTATCCAGGTCAACAGGTGCATTGCCGAGAGAAAGCCCGTCCAACGCACTCTTTGTTCCACTTGCAAAATTGCACTAAATAATCAGGGGGTTGCTGCAAACCATTCCTTTAGCCTCCTGTGCCTTCCCTGAGTACCGCAGTAACTCCCCTTGTCCCCCTTCAGAACGAGCTTATGAGTAAATGTTGCACCGGCACTGCTGAGAAAGCACACCATCCTCCATTCATGTCGCTTTCAAGTCACTTTCACTCGCTTTCGGTAGGGCAAGCCGTGGTGACCAGAATCTTCTGAACTTGCTGTCCTTGCTAGTCATGCCAGTACTCTTGTGTGCGTTATTCGCATCTGCCCGTGGTATCCAGAGTGTGCGCAATGCACGTACACCCATATGTGGCTGCACATGTTGCGTTGTCTCTGCATTACTTATTTTAACATGTAAACTTACGTATCAATATGAAACCACACACACATAATTACATACATACACTTGCATACTTGTTTGTGTGTGTGCATGGTATGTAAAGAAATATATATATATATATACACACACACCTGTGTATCTATGGGTTAAGCATGAACAAAGCAGCAAAAACAACGAGGGCACAACACAACACATCTCTAGGGGTTGATTCCCCATTCTTTCAAACCATCATTCTTTCCAAACACAGTCTCTGCATTACTTATTGTAACATGTAAACTTACATATCAATATTAAACCACACACACACACATAATTACATACATACACTTGCATACTTGTTTGTGTGTGTGTGCATGGTATGTAAATATATATATATATATACATATACACCTGTGTATCTATGGGTTAAGCATGAACAAAGCAGCAAAAACAACGAGGGCACACCACAACATCTCTAGGGGTTGATTCCCCATTCTTTCCAACCATCGTTCTTTCCAAACACAGGCCGTTTTGTTGTGGGTTTCCGGAGGTTCGAAAGATGCGGATCCCTGTGCTTAGAATGGAAATGGAGACATCAGACGCATCACCTCTGCGCCAGGACCAGCGGCTCCAGGAGGTGCTGGACGAGACGCAGCGGATTTTGAGGGACCTGGGCGCCGACGCCTTGGAGCGGCCGGCGGCCGTGCGGCAGCCGGAGACGCTGAGGCCCGGGCAGGAGGAGGGGGGTTCGTTGGGTGACCCGGGAGGTGGGGTGGCGTCCATTTGGTGAATCGAATTTGTTTGTTAGTTTTCCCCTGTTGGTGTTAAAGGGAATCTAGCACTGCTGGACATGTTTCATATTTTTTCCGGGGGACTGAAGCAAATGGAGGGAGGGGAAGAAGGAAATCTCAGGTGGGTGTAGCGAAGGGCTCGCACAAAACATAGAAGTATCGGTGAATAAATAGATAGACGAATGGACGGACTAGATAAATGGATAGATAGTTGGATAGGCAGTAGATGAGGCACAAGTAGGTGCATGTACGTTTAGCCAAACTGTGAAAATACAGTTACTACGGATTGATCGCGGTTCTTTGGGGCTTGTGTGCCAATCGCCACCCCAGGGTGGTAACATCATCAACGTAAACATCCTCATAGGGCTCTTGAATGGCATCCCTTCCTTGCGGGAATTCTTCATCAGAGTAAGTGCCGCATCCAAGTGCCTACTACCAAAATGAAGAACGGTGCCGAGATGTATGCTAAGTGGCATTATGTTTTGCAGCGTGGTATGTCACATACCAGCCAGCCAGCCAGCCAACCAACCAACCAACCATTCAACTAACTAAGTAACTAAGTTTGTACCCCTTCGGTGTGCGCCCGAAGGTTCATCAGTACCACAAGGGGTATACAGAGCGGATTGCTAAAACGGTCGCAAGGCGTATGAACAAAGTCTATGAAGAAAGGTCATGTGAGCCACAATCAACACCCGGATAGATGAAGGATAGTAAGGTCCCAGCAAGAAATAGCTGCGGCCGCCTTCTGAATTCTTTACATGGTTCTGGGTAGACCATTTCAATACCGGGTTTTGATTGTGACTCATGTTTAGTTTGGTGATTTTGGCGGCTCAAATGGGCGGCTGGCTGGGACGCCCAGCACCAGAAGCAGGCATGGGCAGCTCATGCCGCACCAGTTGGAGGGCCTGCGGTGGTTGGTCAGGCGGGGAGCTCGGGCACTGCTCCAGAAAAGTTAGGGCTCCATTCCGGGGTTCACCCAAATTCGTGAAAAGCACCAGCGCTATGTCAACAAGGTGATGTTCCACGAAACCAATCTGGTTTGAGTCCAACACGATGAAAGAAAGGAAAGGACTTGAAGTCGCTCCGAGCCAACAGTGGGAAAGGCAGCCGTTTTGTGGAAAGAGGCTTTACCATGGTTCAGAATGAGGGACCTCGGAACTTGGACAATCGAATTCTGGCCCTCCTAGCGTCGACTGTGGGCGCAAGTCCAGCGGTCGCCTCTGAGAACTTGACATGCAGGAAACCCAAGTTTATCCTTGCCGAATCCCTGTCCGTGCAATCTGTGGAAATGGCACCCTTCAGCCGCGCGGGTGGCTGAAACGTCCCTCTGTGTCGCTTGAGACATGGAAGCATCGGTCGGCTCTTTTGATCTGCAGAGGTGGCAGGCAGGCAAATGTGGAACACAGGGAGTGGTCCCTGATGCTCAGGTTCTGCAGCAAGTGACACGCATCACCCCAACCTCCATTCCAGCACAAAAGGCGTCATAGGTGCAGGCAGTTCTGCGACGCCATACTGGCAGTTGCATCAGCGCGCACTCAGCATTACACAGAGGGATTGGCACAGGATCATCCGGCATTGGCTGTTTTCCATTGGGAGGGCTCCGGAAAACTCAGCCAAGGCTCGTGGACAACCAGATGAGCGGCATCCTGGCAGATGACATGGGCCTGGGGAAGACTGTGCAGAGCCTGGCGCTCTTGGCCCACCTGGCGGAGCGGGGCGAAGGAGGACCGATGAACTCCGCGAGGGCGGGCGCAACATCGGCGTCCGTTTTTTTGGGTGGGTTTTGCTAAAGAAAAATCGATGGCCGGTGGCGATTCCTGGTTTACCTGGTAGCTTCATCTAAAAGGGAAACCCATCTATTTCCCCTAAAAGGACGCCCATAAGACTCAAGGCTCTGGGGAAGATGAACGAGGTTTCAACGCTGAGAATTCCCTTAGATGTTTTTGAGGGCATCTGCGGGAAAGGCCGATGGAAGCTAGTTCAGGTCGTTGCCTGATTGTTTTGATGGACGGATGGATGTATGGATGGATGGACGGACGGACGGACGGACGGACGGATGGATGGATGGATGGATGGAAGGACGGATACGGACGGACGGACGGATGGATGGATGGATGGATGGAAGGATGGATCCCTGTCCTGCCCGGGTTCCGTGACAAAAAACACTCAGTGCCAAACACATGACATGGAATCCGCCCAAGGTCCCAGCATGTTTTTTTCCCTCACAGGCTTTTGTTTGGATGGGCTTCATGTTGGGGAACCCTTACGTAGAGCTTGCGCAAATCGGCCCGAAACCAGTTATTGTCTTGCGGTTTCCGAGGAATATAGGGGCCAGCCTGGCTTCCTGGAACTCCCAAGTGTAGTCCCTGTTGTTTGCCAGGCACTTCTATGTGGATGAAAAGCACCATTGCGCACTTCCAAGTTCAGATCTCGTTTTTCATCGGTGTTGCTGCGCTTTTTGTGGGCGAGCTCTGGGTTTGTCACCTGATACCGGTGTTGCTGCTCGATTTCAGCTCCTCTTTCCTGGATGATCCGGGCGGGTTTTGACACATGCTCAAACCAAGCCATGTTTGAAAGGACTCTCTCTCTCTCTCTCTCTCTGGGTGGCCCTTTTTGGGGTTCCAGGTTAAATTGCAAAGTTTCGAGGGAACAGCCGCATCCCTTTGACTTCGATCCGACTCTCCGGTCGAAACGCGTTCGCAGGTCCCCACCTGCTGGTTACGCCGGTGAGTACTTTGCAACACTGGCACGGAAGCCTGGCCGCGGATGGGTGGGGCGTGTGGCCATATGTGTTGGCTGCTCCAGTGAGGCGTTGATGCTTTTCCGCCAACTTTTTGGAGGCTTCCCTTTTTCACGTCAGCCAGAGAGATCAATCTTTTTTTTTTCCCCCCACGGCCAGCATGCCAGTGGCCTCGGGCCTATGATCCTTGATTGCGAACATGTTACGCGGGCTGCTCAGTTTTGCAGGGAACCAGCTCAAAAGTGGACAGACATCCCCAGCTAAATGATGTCCACTAAAGGGTCATTCAAATTTGCAGTGTTCAGCTTGCTTTGTGCAAGCTGCGGCTTGCTGAGACTTCTTGAAATTGAGGGTGCTCAAAATGGTGGACCCCTTTTAAATTCAAAGGGAAACTAACAGACACCAACCTTGGGAGCCGATTCCTATTTCGAGAACTTCCATGGCGTTCAGCTTCCCCACATCTGGGCCTGCAAGGTTTCTGTTGCAATTGGTTTGGCTCCTGGACACGACCCTTGAACCATTTTTTGTTTCTGGAGCTGGGCATTCAGGCATTCTGGCATTCGGTTTCTTGGCGAGCAGCAAGTTTGGTATGGTATGAATTGATGGAATGCAACGGCTAAGGGGCTGTGTTGGCTCCCCTATGACCGCTTGTTTTCCTCCTTGGGCGTGTTGAGCGCGCACTCAGCCTTCTAAACTTACAAAGTATGCTATGCAGATAGCGGTCACGGCAAGGACCACCAGCAGCACTTTAGGGTCCGATCCAGGACGACTCAAACCTGGTTGATTATAGTTGGTGCCCCATTTGGGGAAGGGATTCCACTTCTCTGGGAACAGTGCCCCATCCATCCCAGGCGAAATCCGGGTCAACATTAGGGTTCACAAGCAACTGAAACCAGCTAAGATTTCAGCGCTCATCGGAGAGCCTCAACGCAGGTGCGACGAGCTCTTGCAGTGGGCGCCCTCCTTCCGGTTCCTGATTTACCGGGGCAGCCGTCACCAGCTAGCAGCGGTGGAGAAGGAGAGGTTGGGTTCACTTCGCACCGTGCTTGGCCAGGTTCAAGGAGACTTCTCTTCAAACAGGGGTCCCTCAGGTTCCCTTTTTGTTTGACGTCAAAGTGGGAGTTTGTTACCGGATCCCACCAGCAAATGGCGACTTTGGAAGGGGGACTCCATTGACTGTTGAACTCTTTAACTGGCCGGCGGGTGAATTCCGTGATGTGGAATGGTCAACCTGCTGAATGCTGAGGAGACGGTGAGCGCAATGAACAAGGTCAACCTTGTCATGACCACCTTTGAGGTCGGGCTTTCAGGATGGGACTGTGCCTCATGTGTCTATGACCTAGAGGGGGGTTGAAGATGGAACTTGGATGGCACTCTCAAGGCATCTCACTTAAACGTTTGTCGCGCAGGTAAACAAGACGATCTAGTTAGGGTAGAACATCGGCGTGGCTTCCTTTGATTCCCTTTGCCAGCCGATTCGATTTGCCCTACCAGGGTCTTGGAGCAACCTCTGCGGGCCTTCTATGGCTCTCATAGCAGATTCAATTTTCCACTAGATGCTCGGAGAGGGCATATGCAAAGGAGCGAGAGAGCGAACTGAGCGAAGCTGTGAGTCATCTGATGCGGTTACTTCGGAGTTGTTTTTCCTTTTTTTTTCTTCTCGACATGGGCAGCAGGGAAGTGCGAGCTTGTTGAAACTCCAAGGTTGACGGAAGATGGTGATAGCTTCCCCAATCGCTCAACCGAACGCGGGGGGCATCGATCCAATCGGTTAATTGGTATGCTAGTTCCACTCGGAGGGAGGTGCCTTTGGCAAGCCTTGGAAGCTCGCGAAGCACACAGGACCGCTTTGGCCGCGAGCCGCTTGAGGCAAACAACAGGAGGCAGAGCGCAGGTTGCCAGGCTTCAGCTTTTTTCGGGCTGGGGTGATGTGGGGGGAACGTGAGCGTCCCGAAAATCAAAACTGCAGTTTTTGCCCAGACACCCATAAACCTCCCATCAAAGTCCAGTCGCTGCATTGCCTGAAGCTGCTAGCTTCCCTTGCAACAGCCATCATGGTGGCCGGGTTGAATGAGACAGCAATCTTTCTGTAGGTCAACCTGTGCAGACATGTTTTGAAATCTCCGCTTCTTGTGAGCGCCGCAGACCATGGCGAATCACGACTCCTTCCTGGGCAACTTCCCTTGGCACTGCGCAGACGCCCAGGAGTGTACTTGCAGTCCATGAGAATTCCAGAGATCGACAGCGTACTTCGCCCCTGCTGTAGATAGTTTCATTTGCATACAAGCAGACATAGGATCGGTGTGGACTTGTTGCAGGTTGCAGGGCCATATGTATATATATATATATATACACATGCATATATATATAACACATTTCTGTTATAAATAGCATGTCTATAATTCCTCTTGATTATGTTGCTCCAGGGTAGAATTTGGATGTGGCTTTTGTGGATCCTTCTTTGTAGGGTTTTCGAAGAGGAACACATTTGCACTCTGAAGAATCAGCCGCACAGACCGGAACCATCTGGAGGGATCCGCAAGGAACGCATCCGAATGCTGCCATCTCTCTTTTTTTAGAACACAACATTTGTTTATTGATTTATTCAGCTTGCTTAACGCCTGTCCCACCCAGCCCACCCCGCTAGATTCTGTTTCATTTTTTTTGAAGAACAAACAAGTCCTACTTGGTCGATTAAACATGTTATTCGAAACAATAATTCCAATTGAATTCGAATGAACATCCTTCTGAAGCTTAAAGCTTTGTAATTTAAATCAATGGGCTGAAGTTGCAGTTTCCTTTAGATTTCTAGATGGTACTTAGGGTCCAATTTAAGGTCTAGTGGTTTTCCTACTCTGAAAGGAGTTCCTACTTAAAGTCTAGTTCAAGACAATGTCCAATTGCATCCTGCTTAACCTTAGAGCCTTGCAGTTTAAACCTGTGCATGAAGTAATAGAACCGTCGTTGCATTTTCCCTGGATTCGTATGAGGTGTTCACTCCTTTTAAGGGGCAGACAAATGAGAAGAAACAACCAGCATGGTTTTCCTTATTAGATTCTATTTGGATTCTAACCAATCTCTATATAATACAAACACTTACTTGGAAAGGAAATACTGCTTAATTTCTAGTTCAAAATGCGAATGCTAATCAGCCTAATTAGAAGGAACACACATCTTGTCTTTCCTCACGGATTTCTATTTCAATTCTAATGAAGTCCTACTTGGAAAGGACATGTTGTTGAACATCTAATCCAAAAACAGACTTCTACTCAAATAGACAAAATAAATACCGAGGTTGTCGTTCCGCACTGGGTTCCATTTGAGTTATACTTAAATTCCAACCAACTTCCTACTTGGAAACTAATTCCTATTCAGAATCAAATTCGTCATAATAGTTCCAATTGAATTCCATTGAAGTCTGAAGTCTTGTAAACCAACGGAGCTGAACTCGGGATTTCTATGGGTTTTTCAGTCATTTTAGGAGGCAGGCAAATTGCTGGAAGACGATCTGAGCACCAGTGGATGGCCTTCTCCTGAAAACAGGAAAAAGACAGGAAGAAGGGCCCTAAACCATTAAAAAACAAACAAACAAACAAACAAACAAACAAACATGGCACCGGCAGACAAAGAGAACATAAAAACCGCAAAAGCCAGAAAGCCACCGTCCTCCCGAACGAAGGGTAGCTACTTCCAGCATCTGTCTCATGGGCACTGGTTTTCTGTTTGTTCTGCTTTTTCTATGCGTTGTTTGTGTTTCTTTGTCCGGCTTTTCTCTTTTGTTTTGCGATTGTTTCTCCGCCTAGTAGGATTTTCTTGTTTTTGGTGGGCCCGGGGGTCCATAATATAAAATAATATATACAAACATAATCGTTAAACTTAACAGCATCCCCAGCTGCAAATCTTGGACATGACTGCTGGCGGTAAGCTAACCTGGTTGCTACCACCACCATGCTGTCCCATGTCCTTTTAGCGCTAAAGTAGCAGAGCCCGTCCAGCCATACTTGGTTGGAGCTGCGTTCTGTTCGGAGCGTGGCGCTGTGGTCCCACGCACCCGTGGGAGCAGACAAGGGTTTGGTTTAAGTTCATGGAGCATTTTTTGGTTTGGGGGGTTGGTTTGGTTTGCGGTCGAGGTTAAGGTTGGGCTTTAGGGTTCGCGTTGAGGGCTTAGGTTGGGTTGCAGTCTTGGCTTCTCGTCCAGGCTGCGGGTCAAAGCCTAGGGCTTCGGTTTAGGGCTCAGGGCTTTGGATAGGCTTGGGGTTTAAGTCTCTCAAGGTTTCCGGTTCTGGTTTGCGTTTAGGGCTTAGGTTTGGGGTGTCGGTTCGCCGCGCAGGCAACCCATGGGGGCTAGTGCTCAAGGCGATAAATAGAATGCTACGGCTGTGGTACAGCCGTAGCCTAAGGATAGAATCCTTAGACTAAATTGGTTGTCGCCACGAACATCACTTGCATGTAATGCCAGCCTTCCCGGGTGCCTTCATTTATCACTCGTGCCTTTGTGTATTCGTTTGCGAATACATATGCATCCTACATAGTACGTCTATGCAAATACATATACACACACACATACATACATACATACATACATACATACATACATACATACATACATACATACATACATACATACATACATACATACATACATACATACAGACAGACGTGCATGCATGCATGCATGCATGCATGCATGCATGCAAAGCCATCAGCGAGAACACTCACAATGCATTGACTTTCCAATTTATTTGGGGTTGGACTAAAAGGACACCGATTTGCGAGTTCCCCTTTGGTGACACATGCATGCATGCCCCCTTTCTCGAGAACGTTTGACTGAAGTGCCAATCAATCGCAATTGCGCAGCTTGAAGAGGGGTTTTGAGGTTCCTGGCTGGCAAGCTGTGACCTGGCCCGTTTTTTGAAACGCTGTCGGGGCTGCAACCTAAGAGCTCGGATTCCAAGGCAGATGCTCTTCCCAAGAGCCCGTTGCTACAAAGAGCTCAAGGAAGCTTCTCCCAGCGAAAAAAAGGTGCGATTGGGCAAGTATGATATCCGAAAAAATGGCTCGTCACAGCCATTTATTCCAATTCTTGCAAGACCCTTCGTTCCAAGCTCTTGTTGGCTTTCGTTTTGCCGCTTAACTTTCTGCGATTGAGTTCTTCTCGACTGCGGATGAATCAACATAGGGGAGGTTGCCCTAAAAAGTGAAGGTCCCTCTGCAATCGCACGCCCCCAAATCAACATGGGTGCATCTGTTTTTGCGAGACCTCTCAAAATGAATTGAAGATGTTCTTTTTGGCTGTGAGAAAAAACAACAACAAGGGTACCCTCAAAACAAGTTACACCCATATCAATGACGGGATTTGCTCCTGGTGCGGCAGTCATCACCTGAGGCCTCATCGTGGACGAGGGCCACCGAATCAAGAACTTCAAGGCGCACGCCAGCCAGGCCCGTGGGGCGTGGTGCGCAGGGCAGGCGACCGGGACGTGACGTTTCGGGTTCCATGGGTGCTCAGCAGGGAATGGGAGAATGACCCCTACAAACAACAATCCCTTGTGGCCTTCTTTGAGGGGATCCCTAGGTTCATTCACCTAACCCCCTGTTGATTCCCTACTGAGAACCAGCAAAAACAAATGTTGGGTTTGCTTTTGGTTTCCTTTCAGACCAACCGAAAGAGGTTCCCCCCAAAAGAAGGCAGACCCATGTTGATTGGTTCCATCTTAATTTGCACCAGTGGGAGCAACACATTGTTAGATGTGACGGGTCATCACTTGCATTCTAAACCCATATATATATATATATACTCGTGTGTAAACCGTGGGAAAATCGATCCAGCCCTCCTGCACATGTTGTGGCAGACCACGTGCATCGGTTGCTGAACCAGTTGAATAATCATGGTTGTAACGCGCTCGAAGCGATACGATTCATTTTCTTTCGGTTCGAATCAATTCATATTGTCTAGAATTGAAACTGTTTCGGTGCGAAACGGTACGATTCACTGCCAGTATTGCTCCTTGTTGCGATGAGGTTCGATTTTTCTCGCGCAGGCAAGCACGCCCAGCAAAATTTGAACCTACAGCCTCTAATATGCAGAGGGGGGGCGGATAGCACTACACCAGGTTCTCCTGGCATGGGATGGTGATCAGATCCTCTTGAAGACAGCATTTGGGGCTGGTGTGACTGAAATGGCGTGGAGCAAAGAAGGAGAAAGAAATGAAGAGGAGTATCTCAATTTGCCTCGGTTTTCCAAAACTTTTGTTCGGTTCGGCGCGATGCGATTCCACCGCTGTCGGTTCGATACGGTACGGAAACGTTTCGATACGGTTCTCGGTCGTCACATGGTTGAAACGGCCATGATAAACAAGGAGAGGTTGAAGTTTGATTCGCGACAGTACCCGGTGACAAGAAGTTGAAGCATTTGGGCTACGTCTTGAACGTGGTCCATGCATAATCCTAGGATCCAACCCCCTTTTCCCAACCTCCCAGCCCCTCGTTGCCCCCACACATAACCTCGTTTCTGATTTTGCGAAGCAAGGAGGGCTGCAATCCTATGGTTCTTGATGGTACGACAGCCATTGGTTGTTCCCAGCCAGGCATGTGTCAAAATTCGGGGTGCCCAGCCCCCTTAAAACCAATCTGAAAACTAGCCTTGAAAAAAATCATATGGGAGTTTCTCAAAACAGTGCGCCCCCTTTTGGTCAATATTTTGAGGGACACCAATCCCAAGCAACCCATTTCGGGTCCGTAAATTTGAGAAACATCCACAGGAGCTTTCGTCAGTGGGGCTGCTTTCAGGTGTTGCGCCGACTGCCTTGCCGGCATCGTCTACTGCTCACGGGGACGTCAGCCCGGCATTGAGTGGGCCGGCATGGTGGATTGTGGGCTTCTGTTTGTACTTGCAGTCCTTTGTCTGAGTTGCTTTTTGTCCTTAACGCTTGCATCTGATATTGTTTGTTACACAGTGCCGCGTTTTCATGAACAGCACGTCATGTGATAGCATCGGTGTTGTTTGGCTAACGCTTGGCTGCACTGGGACATTTTGTCCAGTCCCCGAACATTATTTTCCAGCATAGAACCAAACATGCACACATACACTGTGGCTTAGCACAGAGTCTCGCTGTATGTAAATGCCGCAACGGCAGGGACTTTGATCCATGTCCATTCGCGAGAAGGATACAAATTGAAGATGTCGTCGCCGACCGGGAGACATCCATCAAGCTGCAAATCGCCAGGCCGATCCAAAACTCTTTGCGGGAGCTTTGGAGCTTGCTGTCCTTTGCCACTCGGCTTGTCCACTTTGCACAAGGTGACCATGTGGCTCCATACATAGCAACATTTGCTATCGAGCGGTTGGGGACATTGCACATGGTTTCGGGTAGATCCCTGTAGTGCTAGGGTTTGATTGTTTGCCTTGGCATCCATTGTCCATGGCATTTGTGCCACCGCATGTTTCGTTGGTAAGGGCCAAGGCATCCAGGCCTAGGTGCTGACTTTTTGAATGCGTACGGCATAGGTTTGAGGAAGAATTTCCTTATGTCCCATTTCCAGTTGACGAGCTACCTATTCTCACTAGGAACTGATGAAGCAACGTGGTTGCTGCTTGGCCTAGCTGAGTTCCCCACAGACTTAATCTTGGTGGTGTTGCAGCCTGGTGGTGTTGCTTCTTCTCCAGCTTAGCGAATGCACCTGGGGGTAAAATGAGTAGCAACCTGTAGTTGGTTTCCTTAATTTAGTTTGACGAATATGAATGAGAATAAGGGTTGTGGTGGCGTCATAAGAATTGTAGTCGTACTGCACTTTGGTGTCTTGCCCCCCGGAGTTCACCGCTATGCAGGCAACCCTACGGCTCATTGCTCTTTACCAGTCCATCTGACTGGTAGACGTGGTTCTTGCATTTTCCCGGGCGTGGCTTGCGCAAAGTGCGGGGAATCCAAATTTACTGCTGGGTTGCCATGTGCGATGATGATTATGATGATGAGGATGATGATGATGATGAGTAGGAGGAGGAGGAGGAGGAGGATGAGGAGGAGGATGATGCTTACCATTCACAAATCAGGGCAACAAGCACAGTCACAATCAAGATGACACCAACAGTAACCAAGCACAATCAGCAGTATAGAAAAATACTACTAAGCATAGCAATAAACAAACAACAATTATCATTCCATAATGATACTAATACTTGTGCAGGTGCAGACACTTCTCCAGCAACTCGCCGAGGTGGCACCTTCCGCCTTCAGCTCCCTCGAAAACTTTGAGCAGTGGTTTGCCGGGGCTTCAGCGTGGGCTAACGACCATCTTTTGCGGGGAAGTAAACGGGATGAGCAAACCAAAATGAGGGACTTGTGCCAGGTACTTTCACCCAAATGTACATCTTTGTTTCTGACTAAAATGATAAGATAGGGTTTAGCACCTAGGCTGAGCGTTGATCACGTTTAAGTTAGATTGATCGAACATGGAGAGATTCCGCGTTTTTTTGTTTGGTTTGATTGTTATTTACCGCGGCGACAGTGACATACTTTTTTGAAAGAACACCTGGGGCCGGGAGCAGAAAGACGGCAACTGGGCCGAGAAGCATCGTGACTTCCAAGGAACAGAGACTCTCTTTATCAGGGCGTTAGTCGCTCTCGATATACATATATATATATATATATTCCTGTTGTGTTGTTGTGATTCTGGTCTTGATTCACTATGGTTTTGTTGACTGTGATTATGTTGTTGCATTGTGTTGTGGTCTTGGCTGTGTTTGATTGTTTTCAAGCCGACGATGCTTTGGACTGCAGGCCTTGATATTGTGGCGATGTGGGTTCGGCGGTTTTGTCGGAGCATGTAGTGCGACGCCACAGCACGCGGCGTGCACATTCTGGGCCCCTGGCTGTGAAGTGCGCAATGCACAAGAGACGAAGCCTTTCGGCATATCATTCTGCTAGGGCAATGTGTGGGTCAAACAACCCTTTTGGGGGGTGGCAGAGCTGGTCATGGACCCTTTAGACTTGGGCTTTGATAAGCATTTTTAACAGTTTGTACTGGAGTGAATCGGATTCAGGCCCTGCCAGCTCTGCCCGGCGTCAAGCTGACGAGCGCTGATCAGGAGAGGGGTGCAAGGGTTTGGGGCATAGCATGGAGCAAGGGTCATGTCCGCTTCCAGCTCCCTGTTTGATGTTTGAGTTTTTTGATTTGTATTAGTGGCCCTGAGGACCTTGAGATATTATCCCACTTAGTAGTCACGTGGAGGGTGCCCACCACTCTCTCCCCCCCAACCCACTGCCCAGACCCAAGGGCTGGTGCTACATGAGGAGAGGCGCCTATGTGGGCACGCGAGACTCGTTCGCAGGAGGAAGATCCAGGGATGGAGGCCTGTGGTATGGAGCACGGAAGGAATGTTCAGTACCTTTGGCAGTTTTTTTTCATGGCAGAGCAGACACATTTGCAGTCCAAGGCAAGGTGATTGGATGAATATGGTGCGTTCACTGCAAGGGCTGCGGTTGTTTTGGTTTCCTTTTGTAGCAGCCTTCGCGACACGTAGGTGAGCCAAATGCTGTCCGAGGAGGAAGAGCTGGCAGCTGAGTATTCCTTGAAGCAGCTGGGCACATGGGATGCAACTTTCTTTGCTCAGGCTCCCCGCCCAATGGCTTCCCTGTTTGTTTGCAAAAACATGGTGTTGCCCTTGGGCCTGGAGCGAAACTTGGGATCCGTGCCATCTGAAGATACACCAAACCAGCTGTTTGTTTCTCCGGATGTGATCCGGCAGTTAACCTGAACACCAAAATCAGGGTCGCCAAAAAGCGAAAGCAGATCCTCCACAAATGACGGTTGTTGTTCATTCGCAGGAATGTAGACAGGGTTCAACCCAAGTGCTAAGCCATCAGGCAGACAAAGCGAGTGAATGTGACTGACACTTCTCGAAGACGTGCCTTTTTGATCCAGATCATTCACTGGTACGACCTCCCGATGTTTGTTGTTTTCGCCGCTAGTGCAGCTGGTGATCCGTCGTTGTATCATTGCAGCCTGGCCATCGCCATTGATATCTAACTGGCAGGGCCTTGGACATGTACAATGTAGGTACCTAGTGTAGTGCCCAGGGGAAATTCCCGCACAAATTTTGAACATGAAGACACTATGTGCAGTTGTTTGCCTGCTTGTCAGACTGCTTTATTTGTCATTTGATGCACAGAATATTGCGGCCCACTAGTTGTGGAAACCTCCCATTGCGTGCTTCTTTGGGAGAAGACCACAGCAAAACGTACCTTTTGGATAGAGTCCGAAGGCTGCTGATCATCCAGCGGCTCCATGGCGTGCCTGGGGCTTGGGCCATTGGCGTCCAGTTGTTTCGATTGGTTCGTGTTGAGCAGGCGAAGGCTTGCAGGCTTGCAGGCTTGCAGGCGAGCCGAGCTCTAAGAATACTTTGCCCGGCTTCGGCGTGAGGAAAAGCACGATGCTGGGAAAATCACACACACGCATCGGCGATATGCATCCAGTGTGTGTACAGAATATTTGGCCCACGTATGACAGGTACATGCAAGCTAGACTATACATATGTGTATATATATAAAGATATATATAAAGATATATACACATCCCATGCATCCCATTTCAGTTCGTCAACATCTTTGCGAGCCGAGGCTGCGGCCCTTCCTTCTCCGCAGGACCAAGGTGCGGAGCAGATTGGCTGGGGCGGTTCGCGGTCCGCTTTCGGGGCGAAACTTGCACTGACTGCGCTGGTAGGCAAACTCCTTATGGCCTGTATGATCTTAATTCATCCGCTAGTATGTTTATATCAAGATGCGGCGCTAGTGTCACAAGTGGCTATGGAGACATGGTGCAGACTGATGCAACATGATTCAACTTTGCAGCTCCAGCCGCGGCATCATTGTTTGTAGATGTTGTGAGCGACAGGCGACAGCTGCCCACAAGGTGTCATGCGTTGGCTGATGTTTGTGATTCATGTGTCAAAAGTGCTCTATTTGTGTGTGTGTGTGTCGTGCAGTATTTATGCAAACATTCAATGAACTGCGAAGGTAGTCTCCACATGTTCGCGCAGGCAGGCTGGGCGCGTCCCATTATTTCCCGCCCATGCTTGTGTGATGCTTTTTTGATGAATTATTGATGCTCTTTCAAGGCCTTTGCACACCAATATTTTGGTAGACTTGCTTGAATCGTGCTATTCGTCACTGGACTCCGCAACTACTACATGTTGCAGACGGATGAGGTGTGTCAAGGATATATGTCCTCTGGTTGCTCAACACGTAAGATTTTGGCTGATGAATCTTGATGACCACGTGGCTTGCTTTCAAGCTTGGCTTGCATCATTGATGCACATGAAATACGCATCATACATTGTTCGTGTGTTGCTGATTTCTTTAGAGCATGCATGTGCGTGGTGTATGTAGATTTCAGGGGGTCATTTATGGATCCAAGATTGCTCGCAACAGTCTCCAATATTTCTTGGATACAGGATCCAGAAATCTACATGCCGTATGTACTCACCGAAATCACACGCTTCTGAAACTTGTTTCAGCCGCAGTGCGGTTGAAGCCCCGCACCTTCCCGTAAACCCGCCCAAACCCGCACAAACTGCATCTCGTGCAAGCCCGTTCGAAGCCGCGCCGATCGTTTTTGCGGGCCAACACGCCAAACATGTAAAATGGAGGTAAAGAAAGGTGCGAGCAGCGTGCCAAAAAGCCAGGTGTGAGCAGCGCAGAAGTTGGCCATTTTAGGTGGTACCACCTGCTTTTAATTGGGGCCATACCAAATATTTGCTTCACATGTGAAGCCGAAAGTCAACTCGGGGTCGTAGCGTTGCTGGCGCAGATGGCCACCCTATCACTCCCAACTCACTCACTCACTCACTCACTCACTCCCTCCCTCCCTCCCTCCCTCCCTCCCTCCCTCCCTCCCTCACCCACGCACTCACTCACTCACTCACTCACTGACTCACTCACTCACTCACTCACTCAAGTTCGCACCGGGCCTCTGTGGGCGCAGCTGGTTTGTTTGGGGGGGGGGGTGAGGCCCAACGGCAACAGCTTGCGTGCATGTGTCTGTGCTTACACTGCTCCAGGCCTGAATGCAGAAGGTTCCTTTGGACCGGGGTCTATTTCCCAGGTCCCGGTATTCTCTTTCAGCCCGTGAGTTCCTAGTGTGATGTTTAAGGGCGATGCTTAGCCTTTAGGCAGCCCTCATGGCGAAACTTAACTCACATGTTTGCCCCTTTCGGTTTTGCTTTATTTTCCCTTTAAACCAGCAAGGGGTCAAAGTCTAGCCCAGGGAATGAGTGAGGCCAGGGTGAATTTGCCAGTCCCTCGATCAGGAGCAGGTCCTAGCAGATCTGCCTTCCAAGACAGAGGCGCTGAAACGGCTCGACGGGTTTGGCTCAGGATCCCCCCGCCACCCCGCCCCAACTTGTGGTTTTCCCCTTGGTTTCCCTTTGGAACGAACCACATAGGCGACCCCCAAAGATGGTTGGTTCCTCTTCTTAGTTGGGCCCTAAAAGTGACATCCAGCCACTTCCAAGGAGCCATTGGTTCCTTTTTGGTTCCCTTTCAAATCAATCAAACATGGGTTACTTCAAACCCGGGTATTTGCCATGCAGAAGAACTCGCGGATTGGCACACAGAAGCTTTTTGGACTCGGGACCCAGCTTTTTTGCTTGGTCAATTGCCACGCTCACAGATCGGTCAAGAGGTCACATATCCGACATGTCTTTTAATTGAACAGGACAGGCGGCTTTTCAGTTTTCCTCCAGCTTGGTCGCACATACTTGCATGGACCCAGGGAGGAGTTGAGTGATACTGAAGACTCCAGGTGATGCCCATTTTCCGCACAGCCACATGAGTGTCATGCCGTGTGTGCCGATACAAATATCATGTTACACGTAGACTCACAGCTGGTCACTTTAATTTGGTTTAAATTTACTGTTTCACTATTTGGAGTTTTTGTTAGATGCAGTAGCTCGCAGCAGTGTGATCAAGCACTGTCTCTTCCCCTCTTGCAGTCACGATGATGCCATGGCCTTTTCAGTGGACTCGCTTAGATTTTGAGGGGTTGTTCAGGGAAGTCTTTGTAGCGATGCAGGGGCTTCTGCCACAGCCCTATTGCGCGAGACGAGAACAGGGAATGAATGAAGTCCTCTAGACCCTACGCACCAGCCCCCTCTTGTCGCGGGCATGTCCTCACCTGCATACGGATACAGATGAAGGAAGTAAAGAGAGGCGCTAGCTTCTTGCCAAGTGGCACCTGTCACATGCAACATACTGGATCAGTTTGTTGCTTTTGACTGCAGGTTTTGCCAGTTCTGGGTCAAAGAGACCTACTGTTTGCGCGGTCCAGGTCGTGATTTGGGTCCCGCTGACGCGCTGGCAGAAGGCTGGGTTGCGCTTCAATGGGAATGAATGCTACTTGGTTGGGGCCTTGCGTGTGTGTCGAGATCATGGGGAGTCATCCCTGAGCCGTTTTGGAGGATATATATATATCCCCAATGATGATTTATAGCCAGTAGTACGTGCAAAGTACCGCCTCTTGATTCAATGCCTGGGCGCTTTGATTCGCTGCCCGAATGTGCCGTCGCAGTTGGCTCAAGCGACTGCCGGAAGGAGAGTTTTGCGAGCTTCTCTTGCAGCCCGGCGGCAACCTATCCAGGTGGCAACCTCTAATCGGGCTAAAGCCCATGAATCCGCAGCTGTTTAGTCCGTATGCTGCATGGGGCTTTGGGAGTCTTAATTTGGCCAGGATGAGGTGAAAATGGTCCAGCGCTCCTTCGCAAATGTGCAAGCATTAAACCCCCCCCTCGCAAAGGTAGGCCACCAACCAGCAGAACAACAATGCAAAACCAACCTCGATCAACCAGCTCGCGCAGTCATATTTCCAAGGATTCGCAAGAAAGCAGCTCAAGGCAACCTCCAAGTACACCAGATCGAAAGTAGATGGCACAATTGTTTTCTTGCGCAAGCGGGGATGACTAAACTCAACGAAACTTACAACAATTTGCCAGGTTCCCTTTGCGCAGAAACCCCCGTCGCTTTCAGGTCGCGATGAGCTTCTCCTACAGCCCGCAGTTCTTCACGTGAGGTGCCAAGGGCGCGAGAGGTTGGACTCGTTTAAGTGTTTGGCCGCAGGACCTCTCGTGCTGTAAACAGAATCTCACAACTCGCAGTGCTCGAGTCGAACGTCGAAACACGTCACCAGAGCCTTGCTGATATTGCAAGCGTGGGTAAAACGATTTACCAGTGAAGGGCCCTTACTCAGGAACTCCTTTGTTCAGGTTTGTTGAATTAGAGTCGAGTAGTTAATTTGCGTTGATTGGATCCATGGTGTGACACGGTGTGACTCGCATGTTGACTCCGCGCGACTGCGTTCGGCTGAGGCATTTCCCCAAGTATCATGCCGGAGAGCCCAGACGCTGGGTACATGGCCAATACAAGAGATGGGTGTTTTTTTTTTTGGGCGTTGGTTCCTTTTTGGTTTTAAAGGGAAGCCAAGAGAAAAACCACCATTTTGTGGGGGACCCCTATTTTGAGACACAGCCAGATCCGTTTCAAATCAATCGCCCGAACTTTGCTCGGGATCTAAGCAAACCACCTGCGAGCCGTGATGGCTCTCCGCATGTTGCTTGTGCGCTTTTCAGCATGTGTGTGCTGTTCACATTTTCCATTTTCCTGGAGACTCTTTGCTTCATCTCGGCGACAGAGCTCTCCGATCAGTTGGGTTCATGTGAAGCCCTTTATAGGCGGATGCGTGGCGAGCTGGGTTATTTGTTGCCTGCTCAAAGTTGGACCCACAATCAATCAGTGAACCCATCTCCAGAACCTTGTGTCCCAACATCAAAGAGACAAATTGCATGGGAATGGTCAACATCCATTCCCCCCCCCACAGCAAACAAATAAGAATCAAAACAGAATGATATAAACAACAAGACGCTCCAAAGCTACCCACTACAAATCCTCTGCTTCCAACTCCAAAACTCCAGAAATCACAAATGAACAAACTCAGTGTTTTCCACTTGCCACTATAGTGGGTAACCAAGAGAAGCCTTGGGGGCATAGAGGCAAAAACATTTGGAGGACCAAACGGATAGAGAGATGACCATGACTCTGTGATTAGTTGGCTATGACTCTTTGGACCAAGTGGGCATCGTGTGGAGGTTTTGGAGATTTTGGGACATACTCTGGTTGGACGAAATCCTGCACCACTTGGAAACCATGGTTGAAACCATTGTTTCTTGGTATTTACGTTGGGGAATCCAATCGTTCCAGGGTTTCTTGTGCGATTTCTGGATTTCGAACAGCAGGGACGGCCCAACCGAAACCTCAGGCTCCGCACCTGAAGCCTGGGGAGGAGCACAAAGCGGCCCGGTTAGAAGACGACCCGGGCTGATTGGTCGAAACTTAGGCCTTTGGGAGCTTTGGTGAGCTTTGGTTCTGGTTGGTTCTGGCTGGTTCTGGTTGGTTCTGGCTGGTTCTGCTTGGTTTTGGTGGGTTCTTTTGTGTGGCTCTTGCTATATTTTGCTGTGTGTGGAGGTGTTTGATTATTTTGAGATTGTTTGTTGTCCTGGTTTGGGTTGGTTTGCGTTGTGTATGTTATGTATGTAAGACATGTTTATGATGATAGGCAAACACGGTTTTGCCTTTTTCTCCAGCTTCCACTGAATTTGCTGGACGGAACGCACGCACAGCACAACCACTTGTTTGGAAAGCTAGCTACTGTCGGCCTTGTTTGTAGCCACCCCAATAAGACCGCAGGGTATCCACCACGTGTTGGAAGTGATATGTTGAGATGCCGTATGTTGGACACATGAGTAAAAAGCTTGGATCACAGGCATCCAAAGTACCAAGCCCCAATGCTTGCACTCTTTCAAGGAGCTTGTTTGTGGGCAATAGACTACCTGAACAAGCCAAGTTGACTTTGTCGGCAAAAAAGGAAGCGGTAATATTCCTGCTGGTACGTATGCTCTTGGCTTGCTGACGAGAAGGGGGGAAGAAGGGAAGGGGGCGCGGTCAGCAGAAATTTCCCCGCAGAAAATCCAGCATACCTAAGTCTTCTTGGGGACACGTGATTTCGCACATGTGGGTCACATGTCCGCATACTTGGAGAGTTTGCCCTGTCAAGTGGCGCTGCATGTGATTCTTCGGGAGGGTCTTGTGCATGGAATGTCAGGTACCAAATGAGAACCATCCATGCATGCAACATCCAAGCAGTACATCTTGCAGGCCTCAGACCTCCAGATTGGTTTGCGCACGTTTCGCATCGAAAGGGCGTACCATTGGTGGTTTCCACCAATCAGCGCTTTCCCTTGTTTGCCCTTACGGTTTGCCTCCTGGCAAGCATGTAGCTCCACTTTTTGACGGACTGCCATGTCTGGATGACGTCAGTAAACTGGTAGATGAAGAGGGTGTCCTTTTTCTATTTGCCTTGCAACCAAGAACCCCGAATCCCTTTTGGTTTGGTGGGTTTCCCGCTGGAAATGGAAACGTTCCCAACGTGCCCAGGATCCCTTGGATACGATCAAGCCCAAGTGCCTGTCGCAGTGCGGTGACTGGTTGCCGGGCCACCCGTTGATATTGACCGGGGAGGTGCTGCCGTTCGACGCGTATTCAATGCGGCTTTGGTGGTTTGTTTCTCAAAGGGGATGGTTGTAAGATTTTTTTTGTCAAAGATCACCAACCAGGTTTTGATTGTGACTCACTTGACTGGAACTGATCACACGGTCGACAAGACCTGGCATCCATTGGTTTGTTTGTCGGGCTCGGCTGCGGCTCTGCCCCAAGCTCCCAAGAAATCGGACCGTCGGACCGAGCGACGGCACGTTTCGCGGGGTATGTGACTTCACCCATGAAGGCTTCTTTTACAGAGGCCTGCGAAGTACTATAATTCGCCCAGAAAGCTGGTTGGTTCCCTTAGCTTTTCCCACAAATCTGAACCTGACGCCCCTTTTTTGGCTTAGATGTCCTTCATTTTCCTATTCAACCAGCAAAAGCACAATCACTCTTTGCAGTCCTTCTGCCTGACCAAGTTAAAACCAAAAGGTCCCCTCCATTTTTGGAAGCGATTGCTTCCTTTTGCTTTCCCTTGACAGATATGTTGGCTTTTTGCTGCTTTCCGCAAAACAACACCATGTAAAGTGGTGTTTCCCTTCCTCCAATGTTTTGAACTGCCAAAGTTCAAGCTTTAAGTTCAAAACAGGCCAAACACAGGCCAAACACGGGCCACACACAGGCCACAAACGGGCCAAAGCCGCGTTAAACTCGGGCCCCTGCTTTAAACTCAAACGTCGGACATCCCCCCCCAAAAAAGCAACACCTCCACTCGCTACCTTCGGCTTGCGCTTCTGAGGGCAGAGTACAACGGCTGCGTGCAGCGGATCTCGCAGCGCACCGATGGCAAAGGCCGAAATGTTCGGCCGGCCGGACGCCTGGGATGGGGTTTTGGAGTTAGCTTATGCCCTTTTTGGTGTTAGTGTCATGTGAGTCTTTACTGTTTTTTGTTTTTTTTTGTCTGAGTTGATTTATGCCCCCTCTTTTAAACGTGTTTCAAATGTAGTTAAATGATGATGATGATGATGATGATGATGATGATGATGATGATGATGATGATGATGATGATGATGATGATGATGATGATGATGATGATGATGATGATGATGATGATGATGATGATGATGATGATGATGATGTGTTTGCCCTTGTCGAGGCTGCTGTTCATGTCTTTTTGATTTCTTCTGATTTCGGGCTGCCCCGTTTTGGGTTGTTGTTCAGGTTTGTTTTAGTTTGTTTCGTCTTTTTGCCCTGAAGAGTCTCTCTCGGGGGGGGTTCCCAACTGTTTGCCTCTTTTGGTGGTGCCCTTTCGTTCCCAACAGAAGGCACACTTTACTGGGCTACTTCAAACCTCCCAAACAGGTACCGTTCGCCTCAAACAAAGGCATACCAACGAATGCCTCCAATTAAAGTGTGCGCGGTCTGTTGCTTCTTGTGGGTTTGTCCCAGCGTGCTTACGATTTGCCGTAAGGAAAGGGGTACCGCGTTAGATGCGTCGCGGATTTTGAGCTGCCGTGCACCTGGAATGGATGATGCACATCTCCTTTGTTCAATTCAAGAGTCAGCAGGCTGTGAGTCTTTTTCTATGGGCACATCGATTGGCGAACGTATGGCGAACTCGGATTTTTCAATTGCATTGAAGTTCATTGAAGGAGAACATGCCCACGTTCCGAATCATGACGCGCGCACGGTCACCCAGCCACCGGAAGTTTCCAAGCGGTCATTTGCTTCTTGAAAGACAAACTACAAAAACGCTGGCAGGTGCAGTAGATTCCATGCTGGAAACACATTTCTGCTAAACGTGGTACGTTCCAGACATTAAAATCTAGCTGAGCAAAAGCGCACGCTCGCCGCCACACTTTTTTCCCAAAAAAGTATTTGTTTTCATGGCTCTACTATTAGATATGCTTTCTCCCGGGCCCAAGCTCGAAGGAATGCCAAACTTGCGATAGCTCGCACGTTCTCGAAGCACGGGAAGCATACCCAAACTTCAGAGCAAAAACGAAGCAAGGATAGCAAAGCTTGCCATCTTCGTTTGCTGGTGGCTTTTTGTCAGGCGAGTAAGCCATGCCCTGCTTGACGTGGTCGCACGTCAATACTTCTCCTGCTGGTCGGCCGCTCATGGCCATGGGCGAAACAAGGGGTCTTCACCGAGCGTCTCCTTGTGTGCCCGTGTGGCGTGTGTGTTTGTTGAGCGCCAATGGGGCTGTGTGTATTTTCTGAAAGTGCGCGCGTTTTGACCGAACTTAGTTGCCCCCACCCCATCCGCAGAAGGCAAAGGGGCAGGCAAGCGATGCGAAGCCCGGGCCCTGCTGGGGCGCGTGATCCTTTGGCAAGTTTTAAGCACTCACATGTTTGGTGTGTGTGTGTATGTGTATGTGTCTATGTTTTTGAGTGAAATGTGTTGGTCAGGTTGCTTGCGTTAAATGACCTGGATCCAACCGCCAAGAAGAGTGCCGGCATTCGCCAGCGCTGTGAAAGCTGAGAGAGATGAAGTCAGACATCGTGGACACCTTGACAAGTGGACGCGCAGAGGATACATGCGCAAATGCTAGAGAAGAGGTTCCACGGTGTCGGGTCATGCATCATCATTCTCACATGGTTGTTGTTGGGAAACATTTTACATTTTGCTTATTGTGGTTTAGTGGGAAATCCCCACTTAACTGCTAACATTTAAATTTTGCTCCCCTTCCAACGTCAACCAAGCTTACCCAACAGGGGAACAGTGTACAAGAGATTGGCCGCGCTGTGCAACAGCATCAGATATGCCAGGTGATTGCAGGGGCCAATTTGAGGAGCTCACCATGTGTCAGGAGCCAGGGAAACACATATTTGTCAAGGTTGCCAGTGCGCCCCAGGTCGGTTCACCGAACCGCATATTGATGCTGGTATGTATCTTTCTATACATATTATGTGTATATACATATTATGTACATATACAGATATGTGCGTGCGCGTATTGTTTTTGTGCCAAACTGGTGGCTTTGTGTGTTCTCTTTTCCAACAATCAATCATGAAGGACAGGCGAGGTTTGGGCGACAATTCTTCTTGTCTGCTCACGGGGGACCGCGTGACTTGTGATAGTTGAAACTGGCTAGATGGCCACAGGCATGCTTGAAGGTCGAAGGACGTGCTCTCAAACCCTTTGTAAATGGTTTATCCATACTCTCAGGGATTGTTGCTTGACCTGAATATGTTTTTGGACTTAAGGAATCCATAACGATTGGCTGTCTTCACTTTGGCTACAGCATGTTGAAACAACATGACGTGCTGGGCTAGACACAGGCAGGACAAGGAGCGGTTGAGGTTCTGCGAGTGGAGACTGCCGGAAGGACCACTGCATCGCCCACGAGATCTTTTCGCACGTGAAGTGAGCCATGTGGTCCCGCGCCTGGCCAAGGCAACCATTTGTTGTTGGGCTCCGAGAAGTGCATGTTGTTCAACTGTGTTTGCGCACATTTGGTCAAAACCCTCTAGGTTGGGTGTGAAGCAGCACTTCACCGAACGAATCTGAGCGGCCATTCCAACATGGGTACTCGATTTCTTTTGATTCGGATCCTTCGTGGAGATATGGGGATTGATGTGCCTTTGACCCTGGGAGGTTGGAGCTGGGCTTGGTTTCACTGTCGGTTACCTTATACAAACGTCATATGTGTGCCCGGAGGAAAAAGGCGATGCGTGAGTGCCAGGCCCCATGTCAAGACTCGTTGGATGATGGCAGTGAAGACGTGCTGACTATCTCCTGGAAGGGGATTGGACAGCACGTGAGTGTATGCATTTGTTCATGCATCTATACATTGACATATTCAAGCTCTGTAAAAACGTCATGTCACTCAGATGAAGGTTTCATTGAGTGCAACCAACCAGCCAGCCAGCCAGCCAGCCAGCCAGCCAGCCGACCAGCCACGAGTTTGGCACTGGTTCTGCGCAGGCCTTGTACCGAAAGGGCCTGCGAACCATTCAACGCCTAGCGCGGCGCCCTGGTGAGCTGAGCTGGCTTGTCGTGAGCGATCCGGGCGTGACGTGACCAGAGACGTGGTTGCTCCGAACCTCACAACGAGGGCAGTCGCTCCCTACTCGTACGGTGTATGTGTTGTTTCCCACCAGTCAACTAGCAGAAGAAGGCAGACAGGGTGCAACATGGGTGAGCGGTTTTCTTTGGTTTCCAGTTTCGATTTGATCGGGCCGAATGATTCCGAGCGACCCCGACGAGACGGCATGGGTTTGGTGAGAAGCGCCAGGCACCCAAGCGCCGCAACGTGAACGCCACGGCACGGGGCCCCGGGACGGTTCCCAAGAAACAGAAAACGGTCCCTACGCTGCCAGTGGAAACCTCACCCCCGGCTTTCGGGTCTCCGAAAGGTCGGTTTTTCGATGGGACCGATGCCGTTGGGTGAAAACTTCCAGAGATTGAGTCATCGACCTGCACAGTGCGCAAGGCCCTTGGAGCCGCTTCAATAAGATGATGGCCACGTGCCCCATTCACCTACGTCCCCCAGTGCCCTTTTACCATTTCTTCTTTGGGGGAGAGCTCCCCTACTGAAATAGACTACAGAAAAAAGTTGGTACCAACTTATTCAAACCTCTCAACTGGAGGACTTAGTCACTCGCCCATGGGCTTAAGCCGAGTCCTTATGAGGCTAAGCACTCGAGTGGCAGGTGTCCTCGTGCTTGGCGCTGCGCAAAGCCGTGCCGGGTGCTTGGATTCGTGTCGAATCCGACACGAGTCGAGCTTTGTTCGACACAGAGTCGCTAGGAATCCACCGGGTCTACACATCCAGGGTCAACTTTCTAGACCTCCCCAGAATTAGCTCCCCTTTTTTGTGTGCTTTTTTGGGTTCCCTTTGTTTCCACTAGCCAGGCAAAAAAGATAAGTTTTTGCTGGGGTCCTAATTCCAGCCTAGTAGAATGGCCACCCAACCCTGACGTCCTGAGCCAGGTCCGAAAGCAAAAGCGGCGTTTTAAGTTTTGGCCGCCCGCCAAAGTCTGCTGTCCCACTGAGTCGGACGGTACGGCACGTGCAGCAGGCAGCAGTAGCAACTTACTTCAGGGGTCCCTACATGGAATCTAACAAACGGGTTTCAGCTTGCAGCACCGGACGATCCACAATCCTGGATAATGTGTAGCATGTGATCGGACCCCGTTAGGGTCACCCAACCACTGTATTGCGGTTCCTAAGACGTTTTCCTCCGCATTTGCACTCGGCTCGCAGACGGGAAAGCAAAGCTCTCCTGTTTTCGAGAGTTCTGTTTCATGGCTCCTTGGGGGTTCCAATCATTTTCGGTGAATTGCGGTCCCAGCCAAATGCAATTACATGAGGAATGAAGGACTCTTTGCATTTGCAATGAGTATCCCGACCTGACATCATGTTCGGGAACTGTATGTATTGGGGTCTCAAACTCATGACCCCATGTCTGCTGATTCAGATGTCTCAACATCAGGATTGGAGTAAGTCCGCTCGCTGGGCAACCTAGGAACCATCCATATCACTACCTTGGCAAGAAGGCCAGTTGGCTACTTGCTGGAGTGCACTGCGGTTTTTGCCAGTCAATAAGTCAGCATGCAACAAGCATCACATCCAGAAATGTGACTTGTCCCTTTGGCCTCCTGTTGCACATATTGGGGAGGTGGCTCGGTTTTGCCGGCTGAACTTGTTTCATCAAGTTTGGAAGCACCTGATCCACTGGATGATGGTCTGCTTGCTTGCCGACAGCGTCAGGCAAGAGAGGCACGCGCGAGTTCGGAGGAGAGCTGACTATCGGCTGCTGGTCTCTGTTCCTGGGAAACTCCGGTACACAAAGAGGACACAGAATCTCACATAACGTCCCTTCCATCGGGGGGACAAAGTTGGCCCACCCTGAGAAGTGCCTGGCTAACACGTGGAATCCCTGGCTCCCAGCAAGTCCTATGCAGCTTTAGCTTTTGAAGACGGTGTTGGCATGAGAGTGCCTGATGTTTGCCCTCGCCTGCGCTGCCGTGGGCCCAGAGTTGCGTAGTTTGCGAAATGCCGATGATCTTTCGACAGGTGGGAGCGAAACCATCGGTTTGGCCAAAAGTAGTGGACATGCGACTTACTAAATGTCCCAATCCGGGAGGAGACAAACTTGACCATGCCTGCTAGCCGCAGATAGCCGCAGAATTCAACCGTGGCTTCGCGGATGTGTGTCAATGTTTGCCCCTGTGTCCAGATGGCTGAGCCATGATGCAAAGATTGATCTAGCAATCAGCAGAAGTGTTCACCTAGCGTCAAATAGGATGTGAGTGCTTGACACTTGATGAAGGAGGTGCAGCCAGACGACAACAATGCGACAACCAAACCCGAACAAACAGAGACAAAGCGCTGCTTGTTGCCTGCGGCTGTTTCCTCACTTCCTCTCATTTTCCATAGATGCCAACGAGTTGCTGGCCCCATTTCTTTCACCGTTACTTATCCATCGCAAAGCTGGACTTCGTGTTAGACAAGCCTACCCTCCAGATTAACATGGAACCCCAAAAAGCCACCACGTTTAGCATCTCCTCTTGGGAAATGCACCCCCTTTTTAGGCCACCCGTGTCAATTCGGGGAGCATCTCAAGAGCCGGACCGGAGGTGCTGCTTCTGCCGCTGGCAGTTGCACTGTGCCTTGGCTCACGGGTCGGTCTCAAAATTAGAGCCCAACCAAAAGGCACACCCATGTGCGGCTGGCCAATGAAGGCATGTTCATGTGCGCCGTGGTCAAAAAATACTCGATGTCGGAATGGTTTAGCAGGGGCCAGAGATGATGGCAACCACGAAGGCTCTCCCACGCATCGCAAGGAATGTCTTATTCCCTCCCGGGGTTGTTTAGCGATGAGCAGGAGCTGATGAATATGTCAACATCCGGAGCCACTAGCTTCAAGTTGCCGTCAGCTGCCCAGGCGAGAGAGATATGAGGAGCAAAGCGGAGGTGTGCAGATCACCACAACTTGGTACCAACCACTGAACCTGACAGATGTATTCCTGCAGCAGTGGAAGGCGACTTGCAGAAGTTGGGACGGGAACGGGGGGAGAGGGGAGTTTAGCTATCATGCAGTTCTGCATTCGGAGATTGGCACGTCTCTCAAAGGCGGCGAATGAGATACTATTCTTACATCGTTCTGGATCAATTCAGGAGCCATGCGAGCAAGAGTGAGCAGGCAACCAGTCCTTCTCCAGTTACCTTGCAAAAGCGCATCAAGGCAGACAATCCTTCGGACTCTTGCTTTGCATGCTGATATGTGATAACTTGAGCGCAAGCTACACTCGCGCTTCGCATTCGATGTTGCCCAGTGACTACATGTGCCAGCCTATTATTCAGGTATTTGAGCCGCTGTCAACCCCGCTGTGCTAAGTGGAGCAATTGACTCAATGATTCCCGACGGTTGCCAACCCAAAATAGGATTTACTATCGGTTCCGCTTGGATCTGCTTACCATCCCTATGTGCCGCTCCGCATTCCGAACGCTAGACCAGCAACACCCAAACGCCGGCGGTTGGTAGGCAGATCTGGGTTAGGGGAGACACAACAGACGCATTCCTTCTCTTGGAAGCTTCCCCACAATTTGGACTGGACCCCTTAGAGGGTGTTTCCTTAAAACCATTTGGGGTACCAGTAGTTTTGAGGATGCCACTTTGGAGCCATTTGGCTTGCTGCAGTCCATTTTCGTAGCTCTCTCGTGCCCAGGCCATTCCCGTGTCCCCCACCGCAGAGTTCAGGATGCTCAGCTCAGAGGGTTGCTCCTTTGGCCCACGAAAGACCACACGTCAAGCTAAGCTCATTCCCGGCTCTGGATTTACACGTTCTGGGAAGACCATTTTGGTGGGAAACAAAGAAAAGCGACTTTTTGAGCAAGGGTAGAGCGGGGGGAGGCTTTGCGTTGATTTTCCTTTCCAGGCAACTGTTTCTCTACCCTTCCAGGGATTTCGGAGCAATACCGTATCAGACCTGCTCTTGCTTAGTTGCTTTGAACGGATGCCCGATCGAAGAGGGTCCATCAGGTCCCAGCCATGCAAAGGCAGTGTATCCAAATTGGTCGAATTGTGGTGGGCCTTGTCTGGTCATCGGCAATGTACTCTGTTTACTTTGGATCCATTAGCCATGGATCGTCTCCTTCTGTATGGACCAGGATTCTGGCGAGAGGTGCCATTGGTGGACGTGTCATTGAGATAGCCCACTTTCGGGGGTGCAACCCAATTGTGGAGGACCGGGGGCCCCGTGTGCCTTGGGGAACAAGGCATTTCTTGCGGGCGTCTAGGGATGTATGAATTGATGTCAGTGCCGTGAATTTGTGATGGGTGTGCTGTGTCGCATGCGTCCGGCAGTTCGGCTTGCCACTTTTCAGTAGAGGAGAACACATGTGTTTCTCTGCAGCTGAGGGGGGCCTGATGGGCACAAATCGCACAACTGAGGATTGAAGGCCTCTTTGCTGAATCTTCAGTTGGGGGAAGACTCTGCAAATCGCAGAGATGGGGCATCAATGTGGGGCCCTTGGGATGTTGGTTCTCAAAGAGGGCTTGGAAGGGGGTCGCAGTTCTTCCACTTGATGTCGCATTTCAGTTGAGCCCACGGGGATCTTACGATTGGAGCAAAGTGCTGCCTTCCTGTCATTCGCCCTTCCGACTGAAGAGGACCCACCCAAAAAGAAAGAAGGAGCCCGAATGACACAGGGCCTCCTTTTCAGGTTCCATTTTTGCTTTTGGCAGGGCCAGAATTGTAGTTGATTCGAAGGCCCCTGCTATAAATATGTTGTGTTTGTCGTTCACGAACAGCTACGTCCAACTTATCGAGTCGCCACTGGCTTACCTTTTCTATCTTGAGCATGAATTCCCAGTGGCGGGCAGCCTTGTCGGGATTCGTTGCCATCTTCTTTAAATGCGGCTCCCTATCAAGACATGTGCGGGTTGCCCGGGTTCCTTGGGTGGTTTACGCGAATGCCGGCTGAGGCGACCTCTTCCACATGAGCAAGCTTCTCCTCGAAAGGCAGGGCTGTCGGCGACGCCATGGCTTGAGCCATTGGGAGTGATATGGACCCCCCAAACGGTGGCTTTCCTCTTGGTTAGGGTGCCCTGGAAATAAGTCGCACACGCACACACACACACACCCAGTTCATTCAGAAATTCGTCCTCATTTTGGGAAGGAAATTTTTATTGGCCCATGAGGCCTTCAAGACAGATGCATCCCAGAGCTTGCGAAAGGGCTGTCTGTACCACCTGAAAACTGGACTACCGTTTGGGAACATTTTAAATCTCTGCCCTTGACTAAAATGATGAACAGAACATGCATAATCCATACAATGATACATACATATAATACATGGATATATATATATATATATGGTACCCCCCCCCCAAAGATCGACCATTTTCTGTGTTTTATCTCTGGTGAGACATCCCAGAATCTGCAAGGTCTCGGGCTTCTGGCTTCCCAACTTCATCTTGCATCTGCCTTTTGGCTGCACAGGATGAACATGTGGAAAAAACCCGAAGAAATCAAAAAAAAAAAAAAAATCAAAAACAAATCAGGGTCCTGGAGCAGAATGCCCAGGTCAGAATCTCGGAAAGTGAATAAACCTCGAAGAAATAAAAAAAACAAAACAAAAAAACATCAAAAAATCAAGGTCCTGGAGCAGAATGCCCAGACCCAGTGACTATCTCTCTCAAGGCCTTGATTTTTTGATTTTTTTGATTTTCTCGAGGTTTTTCACTTTTCCAGGTCAGAATCTCGGAAAGTGAATAAACCTCGAAGAAATCAAAAAAAATAAAAAAAAATAAAAAAAATCAAGGTCCTGGAACAGAATGCCCAGACCCAGTGACTATCTCTCTCAAGGCCTTGATTTTTTTCATTTTTTGATTTTGTTGATTTTCTCGAGGTTTTTCACTTTTCCTGATTCTGACCTGGGCAATCTCTCCCAGGACCCTGATTTTTTTGATTTTTTTGATTTCTTCGAGGTTTTTGCAGCTTCATGGGTTTCTTGCCCTTCGCCCCTGAGCATCTTCCTTGCAGTGTTGGAGCTTTGGCGTACAGAGCTGCAGTTTTGCAGCCCTGCCAAGTCTGTATTGCAACCAAGGCCTGCAGTGTTGGAACTTTTGTTGGAAATGCCTTGCTTGCCTGTAGTTTGGCAGCCTTGCCAGGGCAGCAGGGAAGCCTGCAGTGTTGAAACTTTGGCAGGTGAGGCGCTCAAGTCTTGCAGTGGCCTTAGTGTTCAACTCTTGCCAAGTGGGTTGCAGTTTTGAGCTGGAACCCAGTTTGGCAGCTTGCTTGGGCAGTGTGCTGGAAGTGCCAGTTTGGTGGTGGAAGTCTTGTAGCAGGTGGCAAGAACCCTTGCCAGGGTATTGAAACTTGGCAGGTTGGCAGGTTGCAGTTTTTTGCAGCCTTGCCCTGCAGATTTCCAGCCTTGCTGGAAATTGTGGAATGTTGCGCTGGGCCAGCAACCAAGTTTCAAGCCTTCCTTGCAGTGTGGGAGCTTTGGCAGACAGAGCTCCCAAGTTTGTTTTGCAAACAGGCCTGTGTTGGAACTTCTGTTTGAACTCGCTTGTCTGTAGTTCAGTGTTGGTGCAGTTGGTTGCAGATTGGATTGGCAATTTTGCAACCTTCAGGTCTGTAGTTTGGCAGCCTTGCTTGGGAAGTCTTGCAGTGTTGAGTTAGCAAGAGGTTGTAGTTTGCAACCTTGTTCTGCAGTTTTGCAGACTGCTTGGCAGGCTTGAAAAGCCTTGCAGTTGGGTGTGCCTGCAGTGTTGGAGCCTCGCAGTTTGGATTTTGCAGCCTTATTTGTACTTGCAGCAAGTGGGAAGCCTGCAGTGTTGAAACTTTGGCAGGTTGGCAAGGTTGGCAAGGGCTGTAGTTTTGCAACCCTGCAGAGCCCTTGCAGGTTGGCAATTTTGCAACCTTGCCAGGGCTCTGCAGTTTAGCAGACTTGCTTGGAAAGTCTTGCAGTGTTGGAGCTGGCCCTGCAGTGTTGGAACCTTGCAGGTTGGCAATTTTGCAACCTTGCCAGGTCTGTAGTTTGGCACCTTTGCTTGGCAGTGCTTTGGCTGGTTGGTAGGGGTTGCAGTTTTGCAAAGCCTTGCAGTGTTGGAGCTGAAGCCCTGCCAAGTCTGTTTTGCAACCAAGGCCTGCAGTGCCTGCAGTTTAGCAGACTTGCTTTGCCAGGTCTGTAGTTTGGCAGCTTTGCTTGGGCAGTGTCTTGGAAACTCTTGAAGTTTTGAAACTTCAGGTTGCCAGGGGCTGTAGTTTTGCAAAGCCTTGCAGTGTTGCAGCCCTGGCAGGTGCGCAATTTTGCAACCATCCTCAACAACACTGCACTTGAATGTCGACCCCAGCATATGCACATCTGTTTCTTGCAGTAATGCGCCGCATCTTTCTCAAAACACAGAAAATGGTCGATCTTTGGGGGGGGGGATAGCATATATATATATATATATATATATGTATACACAGATATACACAGTATGACACCTATTATATATATATATATTACGTTCAATTCCTGGGTTGAGGGAGTTGAACGTCGAGCACAGCCCGGCTTGGCCAAGTGGCCAAGCTTAGGCCGGATTTGGTGGTGTCTTGCCCCTCTGCCTTCATCGATCAAGCGGTGTACTACTACGTCAACACCGCTGCGGAGCCAGCCCTTCGGCGGATCTAGACGGCGATTGCGATTCGCCGCGCATAGACTGGGCTGATGGGAGCCAGTTCCCGAAAAATTGGCAGAGGATCATGTTGGAACTTTTGGGGGCGTTTGTATAAGACATAGCATGTGTCGTGCATGGCTCAAAACATTCCTGCGCATTCTATTCTAGTCGATCTTATTCATCTTAAACATCTTCCCTATCTATCTATCTGCCTATCTGCCTGCCTGCCTGTCTGTCTGCCTGCCTGCCTGTCTGTCTGTCTGCCTGCCTGTCTGCCTGTCTGTCTGTCTGTCTGTCTGTCTGTCTGTCTGTCTCCTGTATCTATTTATAGCTACCTCTCGATCTATCTATCTATCTATCGATCGATCTATCTATCCATCCATCTATCTATCTATCCATCCATCCATCCATCTATCTATCTATCTATCTATCTATCTATCTATCTATCTTATCTTATCTATCTTATCTATCTTATCTATTCTATCTATCTCTCTCTCTGTCTCTTTATTTATCTATCTATCTATCTATCTATTTATCCATCTATCTATCTATCTAAATCTAAATCTAATCTAATCTAAGCTCATCTAATCTAATCTATTCTATCTATGTATGTATCTAACTAATATCTATATCTATGTCTATATCTATATCTATACCAATCTCTATCTGACCTTGTAAAAGTGCTGCGCCTGTTGCGTAGTCTGGACCTGACCTTGCGAAAGTGCTGCAGCTCTGTCACGTAGTCTCTACCTGACCTTGTAAAAGTGCTGCGCCTGTGACGTAGTTTGTACCAGCGATGCGCCTGTCACATGACATTTTTGGCTGACCTTGTGAAAGTGCTTGGCCTTCTGAAAGTGCTGCGCCGTGCGAAAGTGCTGCCTCTGCCAGGAAACCTATATCTGACCTTGCGACAACGCTGCGCATGCCACGCAAACTATATCGAACAGTGCGTGCGTCCGTGCCAATGGTCCCAGCGCGTGCGAAAGAGCTGAAACCCACAGGCGGTTGCACGTGTTGGACATGTCTATTGTCCTGCCACACACGCATGTTTTATCGCGCGTGTTTATTCTTTCTTTTCTTGCCTGCTGTTAGAGTTAGCTTTCAGTTCGTGTGCGTACTGCGGAAGTTTCTTCTAAAAATCATTTGATTCATAGCCTCATTGATGCTGAGAAGGCCAAAGAAAGCTACATGAGGCAAAGCTGCCATGTAAGACAGCGGAGGCAAGCCGCACTTGAGGGTTACGCAGTGAGGGCTACGCAGCCAGCAACCAAACCAGACTTGACACCTACACAACCATCATATCATACATGTATCACATGTGTGTATATATATAACATATGTGTCACATGTGTGTATGTATATATATATATATATACATATATATATATATGTATTCAACCGTTATTTAACGCGAATGTTACTGAACTGCTGCTCCACTCTTGGCCGCAAGCTGTTGCCATAGATCGTCAGGCAAGAGTGGTCAACTGAATTATTGCCCACCGCAATTTAGTAGCAGCATGTCCACCTGTTTGTCCATTTCATGTGAATGGAAGATGTGTGTGTGTGTGTGGAGACGTGTTGGCCTAATTTGGACTCGGTGAGCACAGCAAGTGACGACATGTTTGCTTGACGCAATGGACAAGCTCTATCTAGAATGCACACACACACACACATAGCACCCGGAAGCTTGCAGTAGAATTGAGTTCAATGCGATGAGCAGCGGTTTGTTCCCAACTTTCAGGCGTCAGGCATCCTTTGCTGCGGCCTTAAGGAATCCAGCTCGGGGTCTGCAACCATGGTTGAGCATATTCCACATTGGCCCAACCCTGAGAACCGCCAGCGCTAAGGCTGCCCGGATATACGCCAAAGCCTTCATGAGCGGTTTCGTCAATATCGGAGGCGCGGATCAGATTGGAGACCCATGGTTGCATTCCTGCCCAAATGGTTGGTGGACACAACTCCGACACCCAAATGATGTCCAGACATGTTCAACATGGGTTGGCCTAACCCCCATGGTTATGTGGGAGTTCAAAGACGAGCTGCCTCACTAGTCACTAGATCTACAAGGCAGGTACGCATTGCTCGGCGCCAGTCGACCCAAAAAGCACAACAGATGAGAGCAAACAGGCCAGCAGACTTCAGGCCATGCCGACCTATTTTTCAAGTGTACAAGGGTTGTGTTTGGTTGGCTTGAAGAAAGAGCACCACGAAAGTCACAAATGTCAGGGTGGCCTGGCTTTTGAAAGATATCCACACTGACTTGGCTTTTCGCCAAGCAAGTGGAATCTGAGCCCCCGGGTAGCTCTCACCGATCGAGGTCTATTTGCGTTTCCACCACCGTTTGGGGGTGGAAATGCTGGATGAATGCGAGTGGATTCCCACCCTGCATCGGCTCGAACCCTGCGAACAAACACCCAATAGCCGTTGGCCCAAACAAAAAATGCTGTCATGATTCAGGTCCTGCTGTGGACTGACAGATGTCAAGCAGCTTTCCAATCAAGAGAAGAGAAGGAATTCAA